ATACTGGAATAGGAAAATTTTTGCAGTATGAAATTAATAACATTATTCTTACTTATCCTATAATAATTGTATGCCATTAAATATGATTTTTATGCCGTAATAAATTATATGTTTTGAAACATTTTTTACACAGAGTGATTCGGGAGGTCCTTTGATGTACAAGCTCAGCAATCTTCCTGGACAAAACCCATACGACTCTACTCTAGTACTGGTAGGCGTGGTATCTTTTGGATTCCTCTGTGGAGAACCTGGTTTTCCTGGAGTTTACACTCGTATTTCGAGCTACATGGATTGGATTTTGCAAAATACAAATGTATAAGCGTTTTAAGCATGCAAGAAAAAACTACAAATAGCGTGAGACTTCAAAGATAAACTTCGATAGTTGTCAGCAAAAAACAAAACACTTAATTATGCTGTAAAAAGAAATGTTGTCGCACTCTGATATTTGAAACGAAGATAAATTATTACCAAGTTTTGTTTTACAATTGAAAACTATAATACTCACATTATAAAACTTTATAATAATGAATAGTTAGTTAATTTGGTACTATTCCGTTTTGAGGACCCTAAAAAATTGCCAAACTATTGCTCATGCCAGTGCTGCCAAAAATAATTCCGGCAAACCTAACGCAAGAAAGGAAGTATAACAGTAAATAACTATCTAAGATTATTAATTTAGATAAAACGGTTAATTTCATATAATACTTTTTTAATTTATATCACAAAGCTAACATAATGAATGAACAATAGAGAATAACTACATATTTCAGATCATTATTATATTAGATAAAATCAAACAACTTAATGGATTAAGGCATTGCCATTTCGCCTCCGCTTATCGCTAAAGCATAATTTCATCTCGTTTGTTGTTCAAAGATAATTTTCTATAATGAATGATGCCTTTTCTTTGAAAAAATTCTATTGCAGACTATATAATTACAATACATACATACTTTTCAGGAAAAGTATAAATAACCTTTCTTTCATTAGAAATTGTGTTCTTGTATTTAATCTTGTAATTTAATATCGCATTTAAAGACAAGATATTTAAAAAACCCCACTTACTCATTAATATTATTTAATTGTATCTCTTAAGCGTAGAAATACCTATTTCTGTTTCGTTTTCGGATCTGAATTGATAGCTTTTGATATGCCTTTGGACTATGTTTTAGAGCAACATTTCTCCAGGGCATCCGAGCTCTTTACGAACAGCCAAAGTGTAATTCAATACCCAGGTAATTGGAGAAATATTAGAGACCTGAGAGGAATTAAAGTTATTGAAAAATTCAAGACCTTGACCCATTCTTCTGTCCTCCACCTACAATAGGTACCATCTCATGCAAATCTAAAATATAATAATATAGTTGATAAACTAGCAAAGGAGGATACCTTCCATGCTTCAGATTTATGCTAAACCTTTAAGCTACCTTGAACTGTACTCGAGAAAAAAGACTTTAATTAACAATTCTTGGAGGCAGCTACCGACACAATCATGGTATCGTAGTACAGGTCCTGGTACTCATGTTGGTTTTAAGGGTGATCGGCTCTGGCTCGGTTGACTTCAGGACATTTAAGGACCCTCACATATTCCCGTGGTACTAAAACACTTCCTACTTGCGCCAAATATAAAAACCATGAAGCTACTCTACAACATCTAATTGGTTTTGTTGTCTTGGTGCGTGAAGATCCGTTGAAGAGATCTAATTTCGCGTTGGAAGGATAATTTCGAGTTGGAAGTTATGAAGGCAAAAGAACTTCTGAATATGATCTGATTCAGATCAGAGGGATTAATAATAATAATAATAATAGCTTTAATTGTATTTATAAAATAGACTTAGCAAAGTCTGTTTCGAAATAATAGCTAGATTTTTATCATGACACGTTGTTGAGTCACTGTTAAAATGTGTTTTTATAATAAAAATAACATTATTTTAGACGCTAGAGGTAAATTATGATGTTGTAAATAAATACCTTCAAAAGTATATAATGCTCCTTAAAATGAAAATTGTCAATTCCCTCTAACCTTTACTTATTTATAATCTCGCAAAATTTTGCCAGCGCTTCAAAGTTTAAAATATAATGAACTCTCTCTATGATGATCACCCAGAAATACCATACGGTTAGGTCTCATATGGAGGTATATTCTCCGATTCCTTATCTTTAATAAATGGTTTATTGTAATGCATAACGTAATGCATTTTCGGTATATCAAACGAACATTTGCTCTAAAATACTGATTTTATGAGAATATAATATAATAAATTGGTGGCAAATGAAATCACTAAAAGAATGAATTAAAAAAACACTTAATAAATCTAATTTTAAAACAACTGAAATGTAATTCTTTATATATATATATATATATATATATACTAAATGAGAAATAGAACCAGAATAGAACAAATATTTTTATTTTATTCACATTTGCAAAATTAGTTGTACTTTTATTCCATCAACTGAACATTATGCATTTATGTTATCACATTTTTTTTACCAAAAGACAATACCAAAACTATATTGGGCACAAAAATATATATCAAAAATATATATTATATACATCTTGATTCTAGATCTGGAGGTTGGAGGTCTGTTCTTGTTGTCCAAGCTAAGTTTCAGCTTTTATATGTTAAGCTATTATTCAGCTTTGACAACATAGATTTGAACTTAGATTTCAACATAGAACAGATCTTTCAGCGTAACAAATGTTCTTAAAACTAATATATCACAGCTTTGAATGCTCTACACTGGAATCATTCTCAATATATGTTGGAGGCGTAGGAGTATTACCATTCCAAACTGGCTTCGCTATATTAGGAGGTAACACGTCACCATTGTATCTGACAATAGATATATCATTGCTCTTTCCATTCTGCTGCATGTTGTTGTTTTCGACTGCTGGATTTGGTCGTCTTGAAGGAAGGAATAGTGATTCAATGTATACAAGAGGTAATTCGAATGTAATGTACAAAATGTACGCAGCTATGAATGTTAGCAGAGTGTAGCCTGCAATTCTCATTAACTGTAAAAATAAAAAATAGTTTCTAAATCAATCATGAATCGCATATTGTTCCATTTATTCATTATTGCAAAGTTAGAGAAGTGCAAAAGAAAACAATAGCAACAATTTCAATAAAAAAATGAGATAAGCCATGTTTTTTCCTTAGGCTTCGCTTCATCATACAGGATAGCCTGGAAATAAATTGACTTTTTCTTACTCTTTTATCATTTATATTAAGATTAATTTCAACTTTTTTACTTATTCCCAAATACAACAGAAAGCAACCAGGCAACCAGAAAGGGCGGTTTTAGAAAACCGCCCTTTCTGGTTGCTTCCAATCAATTTTTTAATTTCTTCTTATTTATCTACGTTCAAAACTGTTAACATGAATGCATTTACCGTTTAATACGAGTATTCTGAAAGGTACTGTATATCTGAATAACAGTGTGCTATATAATATACAACTAAATCAAATCAAAACGAATATATTGTACACTATATTGCACTCTCTCGTACCAATAAAATTAAGGAATTTTGACATCTTAACTTAATCCATAAAGACAAGTCAGAAATGGAGAAATACAGTTCTTATTAATTTGCAGCATAATATTGCTTCAAGGAATTCCAGAAATGAGAGCAGGAGTAGCTGCGATATCATGTTATTTATAGGGGTGAAAGGGAAGAATGTTTAACTAAATAATAGGAAAGTAAAATACAGTAGAAGTCTATTAGTCCGGCATCCAACAGTCCGGAATGCCCGATAGTCCGGCATCGCTCCGGAAAATTGTAAAAATTTTGGTTTTCTCCAAAAGTGTGTCTTTAAAGCAAATAAAACCGCTCGAGACCTATCGGAAGTTTCGGGGTAGTTCGAGATCATCCGGAAGCGCTCGGTATTGTTCGGAAACAATTAGCGGCCGGCTAGTCTCAGCTGTCACAACAAATTCAGGTGCAGTACAGCTCCGTTAATCAATCACGAAGCGTCTTCGCCATTTTTTTGTGCGTTGTTGTTTTGTGTCCTTTCACATCGCAGTAACGTAACTTTTGAAACTGTTTATAAAAAAAGTGATTTCGTTCTAACTGTACAGTGACCATGTTTCCAAAACCTAAGCTTCGAGTTCAAAGGAGAGAAAACGAAAACACGTAACACTGACTCTCAATCAGAAACTAAATCATCAAACGGCCTAGAAAAGGCGAGAATAGAAATGTTTTAATGAATGAGTTTAATTGGCTCATCAACTATTTATGACATTAAAAAAACAAAAGAGAACTAATGAGTTTGCTTCTCAATCGGTAAACAACTGAAAAATTGGCTTCTAGACAAACATTAAAAAAACCAAAACTGGAACAGCTAGATAGTGTATTTTCAAATGGTTAGTGCAGTACGTTCTGAAGGAAAAGCCGGTAACAGGGCCAATGATTGTGAAAAGGCAAGAAATTCGGCCAGATTTAGGAGTTGCTGAATGTGAATGTAATTATTCTGATAGTTGGCTCAGAAACTTTAAGTTTCGGCATGGAATTCGAAGACTTATTAACTGGAGAAATCCTTTCAGCTAACCAAAACTCTGCAGAAAAATACAAGACGAGTTTGAGAAATCGTGGCTGATAATGATTTAACACACCTGAACAGATTTACAATGCTGATGAAACAGGCTATTGTGGCGATGTTTACCAACATCTACACTAGCTGGGGGGAGAAAAAGCGCCAGGATTTTAAAAAAAAAACAAAGCAGATTAACCGTTTGCTATGGCTAATGCGTCTGGAAACCACCGAGTGACCCCTTTGTGATAGGTAAATCTGCAAAACTCAGGGCTTTTATGAATGTTACACACTTGCCTGTCCAATACGATGCTCAATCAAATGCGTGGATAACTGCCGCCCTCTTAAAGACTGGTTTTTTCAACCACTTTGTGCCTGAGGTCAAGGAATCCTTCAAAAGCCTTGGTCTACCAAAGATACTAAAAGCCATCCTTCTTTTGAACAATTGCAAAAGCCCATCCGCCAGTAGATGAGTTAGTTTCTGGAAATATGTTTGCTACTCTGCTCCCACCTAACGTAACATCTTTGATTCAACCCATGGACCAGGGGTTATTCAAAATTTTAAATGCTTTTATAGAAGGTCTTTTATTCAAGGCCTGTTAAATGCCGACTGTGACGTGACTGATTTTCAAAAAAAAAGTTTACAGTAAAAGATGCCGTCTATGCTATTGCACAGTCTTGGAACCAGGTAAAAAATATAACACTCCAAAAATGCTGGAGAAACTTTGGGCCAGCTGCAAACCCTGCGTCTGACCTAACTCTACAGACTGATGAGGAAGAAAACCATCAAGACGCTCTGACCAAAGTTTTGGATGTCGTTAGAAGTACTGACAATCCCTTGAAAAACCTGCCTGAAGATGAGGTAGAGGAGTGGCTTTTAATCGACGAGAAGAGCCTGTTGAACAAGAACAACCGATGAGAAATTATCAAATTGTAGAGTAACCCTCAGCCTACTCAAAACCTTGAAGAAAATGACTCAGATGCCGAAACGGAGAAAAGGAAAAAACCAGCTGGGCAGAAGCTGCAGAATCACTAAATAAGTTTATCTCTTTGCCGAGGCTATGTACTAGCTACAGTGCTTCAAAATTATTGATTCCCATATCATTAGAAATAAATTTTATACTAACGCCAAAAGTCAAGAAAACAAAAAGACATTCGTGACTTTTTTAAATCTAAGTGAAATATGTTTTACAGTACGTGTACATACATTATATGAAATGTAAAATAAACTTTGTTGTATGTATTTGCATACTGCATTTTTAATTTAATTATTAACCTAATTGTTCTTATAATTACCGCCCGATAGACCGGAATTTTCGGTAGTCCGGCACCGAGCCGGTCCCGAACGTGCCGGATTATCGGACTTCTACTGTACTTTTGAACCACTGAAACGCCGGAATAACCTATCAATGTACTTGTGCCTATCAAATTGGGGATGTGAGCTCGGAGATTGAGGGGTTTCCTGTAACCCGTATTTAATTACATTAACCCGAAATGGTCATGCAGATGCATGGAAAGATAATACTTGGCATGTCTGAACTGCTATATTTTAGCTCTATCATGGCTTTTGTTTCGCTTGCATTTCAAGACTAACGGCACTTTTCGCTTTGCTTTCTCTTTGCCACTCTGAATCCTGGGTATTTGAAAGGGAGAGTTCGATTTTTCTAATTAAAATTTTTGTACGCGAATGACATCAGAACAATATATTAAACAAATACTCAATTACTTTAAAAGTACAATTAATAATGAAAATTTTAATTCGGCGGCTTCCTAAAGTTCATCAATTCTTAGCAGAAATGTGATTCTTAAGCGCTTCGAATCGAGCAACACCTTAGGAGTAACACACATTATCGAGTAAAACTTTAGGTTATTAATGTACATATATCTGAACATAATGTACAAATACCAATTTCCCATTTTTAAAAAAGTACATATAACAATTTCGCATTAAAAAATTAATTTGTTCCGGTTGCTAAAGTGAATTCTTATTTTATCACTGAAGGTTTTAATCTTTAGTTAAGTTACAAACCAGAGGTTTACTTAAATTACGAACCAGAATTATGCTACGGCACGAAACGTTTTATCAGTAGCATACGAATGTGATACAGGTAAAATGTTTCGTCGTTACAGGTTTTATCAGTAGCAAACGAACATTTAAACCTGTTTCGCTTATGCTATCCCGATGAATTTTGTGGACTTGTTCTGATGTTACTGTCAGACGAGTGAGATAACTCACATCAACAAGTTTGTTACATAAAAAAAATAAGCTTCTATTGCATTTGAATATTTTAAAGCATTAAATGCAATTTTTACTTTATTTTTCATCATTTAGAGATTTCAACGCACTTTTTAATAAAAATATGCATTATTTAATTCTTTAGAAATAAGAGAAAAGTGCAAAAAGAAATTTTACTTACTATTTCATAATGAGAAAATACAAGTGGTGAACGTGCAACACTGACGTGGTATGTTATGACAATGTAATGAATTAGGTATCCAAAGTAACCTAGTTTACTCAAAGAACCAAATCCTTTCCAGCAGAGAATTTTACCGAACACACCTACAAACAAACAAGAAACTTGTTCATATTTTCTGTTAAAAGCTGATAGCATTCGTTGAGCAAAAAGAAATGTCCTCTCTCCTATCATGAGTTTGAGCATATTAATTTTTTCCTATCGCTTAAGTTTACAAGCTACGAATAGTGTTACGAAAGTACTAACTACCAAAGTGTGTTAGATGCCATAAATATTCATATTGTTGCATCTTAAAATTTACCTCACCAATTTTTAAAAAAATAAAAAAATATAGAACGTAAAAAATGTTTGAACTCTATGCGAAAAAAAACTGACCGAGATATTTTCAAAGTTTGGGATTTTTTCCTTTTTTCTTCCTTTCTTACTTTTCATCTCCCCCCCCCTTTCTTTTTCTTTTTTTAAAATTTGCTAAGGCCGAAAACCTATCTTTATCTTCAGGGGTGAGCTACGAGCTTTAGCAAAAGGCTTCTACTTTACCTTATGAAAACAAAACATTGAATATTTTACGCTTTACATAAACAGAAAATTAATTAATTGTACATGAAAAAAATTCAAAACAAAATATGAAAGCTTTCAGATTTTATATTATCCCCAAAGGGGTTTTTTTAATTTTTTGTATGTTACTTTTATTTATTAAATATCATGTTCTTCGCACTTAAACCATTAAATTCAATTCAATAGCAAATCACAAAATGTTTAAAAGAGCATATCTTTAGAATTTCCGATATACAGTCTCGCTCTGGAGATATAGCCTTTTTCGGTATAATGTCGCCGTTGCTCGCTTTGAAATCGTTCAGTTTCTTATATTATATATATTCAATCATTATGTTGCCTTATTTTTTGTAATCAATAGCGTAAGTCTGCGAAACCAATGGCTACTTAATGTTACTTAATAACTTAGTTCAATTCCTTTCATAATTCAAAAATGGGAAATTAAATTACCTCCATATCCGTGAGTACATGCCAAGATAATCCAGGAAAGCCCGAGAGAGAAAGCAGTTCTATGAGTAGCAGCGTAAATTGCTGCTGCAATTGGATCCGGTTCCCTTCCTTCGTGCCAGACATATGCAATGAATTGCACTCCAACAGTCAGGAAAAGGGAAACAATCCATCCGACAATCACATGAACCTAATTAAATAAATAAAAAATAAAATACAATTAATTGTAAAAATAGATAGCTAAATGTTTATTTCTTAACTTACAATTTTCTACCTTATAGAAACATACTGCCACTGAGAATAAGATGAAATCTGTGGAATTTAAAAAACGTTTGGAAAACTCAGAACTCCAGAGCAAATTTTTGCTTTTAAATTCTTAATCAATTCGAATACCGATCATATGGAATTTGCTTTCTATAAATTCAATAATCTCTAATGCATATTCAAGATGGGCGATTACTTTTTCTTTAAGGTATGACATTATTAAAATACGCATAAATCAGAGACTATATACGTCTTCTGTTTACAAAAATAAATTTCAAACGGAAGACACGTTTCTCAACTCCAGTCATGTTAAAGGAATTTTCCTATTAAGTAGTGTTAGGAAACACGATGAAAACAAATATATTTTTCTCTAATTTATCTACATATTTATTTCTGGTATATTTGCTTCATTATATTCTGATGATGGAAATTGTACACAACCCTAATAAAAACCTTCACACACTGTTTTAAACTTAAATTACAGTAATAGTGAGGAATTTCTGCAGAGATGATATTTCTAATATAAGTAGAATATGAAATACTCTCACTTCTTTCTGTACCCCACACAAGTTAGTAAAGCTTGTTGCCAGTTGAGTTTAGCGAGTAAAGTAGAGGCTATTTATCTGATAATTTAATAAATGCGCGCAGGATAATATGAATTTTAAAATATATTGTCACCTATCAATTTTTAACAGATACTTAAATGCGAGTATGAATGTCAGAGAGAGAGTTACAGACAGTAATTACTGTAGTAAATTATTATAGTGAAGGACTACGAAGGCACTTTTTATTGGATTAACATGATATTGTCCTTAGAGTAATGCTAATTGAAAGATCAAGCGAAAGTACAGAGACGTAATTTTCGTTTTTCATTATATAAAATGTTCAACATTTAGCTATTTATCCGAATCTGTACTATAATTACTATGACATATCATGAATTAACTATTAAAACTATCCCATCAACCAAGCACTGAACGTAAACAATGAAATTATTTATACGCATGAATTCAGATACATTAAAATATATCGTACCCGGCACCCAATGAATTGGCAATATCAAAATAACGGCACTTTCGGAAGTCACTAAATTTAAATCCAAAATTTAAGCCTATTAGATAAGAAAGTGTGTAATGGGCTAACAATGTGAAGACTTGATGTTGAAAGCATTAGCGTTATATTTCTGGCGCTCATCGTATCAAACCTTATCCATCTAGTGAATAAAGAAATTATACATATTATAAACTACCGATCCGTTTTCATGCGTCCATGGGTGAAAATAGTATCGCGATTCACATATTCGGAGAATATTAGTGTTTCTAAAGAGGAGGTGCAAGCTTGGAATGCATGTAGACTAAATTAACTTTGTACGCTTTCAAGAGAAGGAAGATATAATCGGACATGCACTAATAAGGAAATCAGAAAGAGGAAAGGAACGAAGATGAAAATGGTGCGAAGAATAAGGCGAAAGGAAGCTAACGAATAATCTCAGATTTTTGTAGTATTTCCCAAGAAATATTTGTCTATGACCGTACATGATGATGCGAAGACTGATTGCATACGCTGCAAATTTTTAAAACGACAGTGACAATATTATAAGCAATATTATAAGCAGGCATTCGGAGCTATATGTCAACATACTACGAAATTCATAATTTTCATGTAATAATAATAAATAATGTAAACTAATTTTGATTTTGCGAAATATAAAATCATGTTATATGTTTAATTTTGCATAATCTGTACGATTTTCAATATTATTTATTTAGTTTTAGCCGATACATCAAAACCACTACCAACGAATTTTGAATAATGCAGTATACAAATTGCATCACAGTACATAAGTAAGTTCTAGAAATACATATTCAATTATCTAAAAAAAAGAACTCTATTATCTGAAATCGGCAAGGTCCCGTTGTTGCCGGTTAATAGGGATTCTTCTGTGAATATAAAGAACAGTTCGATCATCTGGGTTTCAGATTTAGGAATATCGGATTTGTCGCAACCATTATAAAAGTTACATTAGAGCTTTAAAGTAATGATTGACTATATCAGTATGAATATTCGGCACACCTACAAACCAAAACACATTCAAGTTTGTTACAAGTATCAACAATCTTTAATGTCACTTGTAAAGTTTTGGGTAAGCCTAGCGTTTTTGCATTATCTACATTTTTCAGGTGTGGATCAACTACTGAAACCCACATATATCACATACAGAAGGATGTATATGATTTTGGTCTTTCTAGATTATAACATTTAGCTTTCCATTTACAGCCCATAGATATTCCCCATCTTTATTAGAACAGCAATAAATTTTTTACCATATAATAAATTAGAAATTTTTATGCAAATAACTCCCATGTCTGTTGATAAATTTTGGTAAACTGCATTGTCATGGATAAAAATGGAGCTTACGAGGCTAGCAAAATACTTAGGCTTGTTATATGTTTGATGCTAAATTTGTATGCTTAGGTTTGTTGTATGATTGATGCTAAATTCCCTAAGAAATAGGGGATCATTTTAAGAAATTAAATCCCCATTTGTCCCTTTTTTTCTTATTCTTTAATGTTTTCGATTTCATGTGTTCTGTAGTGCCTTCGACATGTTTTAGGACATCAATGTCTACTTCGAAGTGTGACTTTGCTTTATTAGATTAGTTACTTAAATCTTCATGCGCATGGAATTTTCACTTATTGATTGGATTGGATTGGATTATTCAGTTATGGCAAAGCACACGAGGGCTATCTGCCTGAAGGGAGGACTTTCTAAGGGAATCTGGCTCGTATACACGTTACACATGGGGGAAAACCACGAAAACGCCCATGCATTTTCACTTATTGAAGCAACTTGTTATAATATGCATGACAACTTGAGAAATTTAATATTATAAGTTTATAAATTGTGTCATTCTTCATCATAGGCCTTCACATCTAAGAACATCACATCAAAAATTTATTCCTTTTCAAAAGTCATAGATATATTTGGATGATTTGAATGATCACAATCGGTGGCAATCTATATGAAATTGGTAATATTTCTTATTTCACTCAAGTTTTCTGGTAAGGTGTTTCAAGACATTAACAAGTGTAGAACTTTTTAATGTGTGATGATTTCTTTTTGGATGTTACTCCAACTTGTGGTGGGATCAGTGATAAGTAATTAGGCAGGGACTTTCCCTGCATATTTTCTAGGAGCAGGAAATTCTTCATTACGATTTTACATTTTTTAGCAGTTATTGTTAAGGGATTTCTTTCATTCTCTTTGAATTTATTAACTTACACCCCGTATTCTTTTTTGAGAACCATCCTATGACTGAATGCATCAACACTGACTGAGCTGCGAGTTCTGCATCTGACAAGTTTCCAGCTGATTTATGAGAAGGAGCTATTTGTTCATTTGGTTTGAACAGCTACTGTTTCGTTGGGGAAAATATAAGACGGTAATCGCAGTTGATCTTATGAAATTATTAAATGCTATGTTTTGCAAGTGGTGCATTAATTCGGATGTTTTCCCATCAGTTAAGAAACTTTCAGCAAGTTTTCGCTGCTGTTGGAATATCTCCAAATGCTAAGTGCTGCATTGCAGATCCATCTTACAAGGTATTGGCAGGCTTTGAAAGTCCATTTTATCTCGCATAATTATTAAAGGTAACAATAAAACCAGGTAGCTAGAGAGATTCTTTGTTATTTGCGGGAGCAAGTCAAGCAACACTAAAACCCGTAATCGTAGATGGGTTTTCCGTGTATGACTGACTGGTCAAGTGGAATACATAGGAGAGAACATAGCCATTGAGCCGGATGATAATACTTCATACCTAAGAAGGTGACAGAAAAAGATAACAATAATAATTGGTAAATGGATCACGTTACTTACAGTTACGCCAAGTTATCCTTTTAACTCGAGCAGGTTTAAATCTAATTGGTCAGGAATATTTGTGGTAGAAATGCGAATGAGAGGAGAAAGAAGGAATTATTGTTATCATAAATCCCAATGATAGATTTTTCTATGAAACTTCAGGAGAAATATTCACAATGTGGGCTACTACGGTAACTCAGTTTATTATTGATTAAGCTTTCGCTGCAGAAATTCAGGGTAATAAGTTTACAATTTAATTTTTAAAGCAATATGCAAACATTATAACTAAATTGTTCTTGAGGAAGACATATTTATTGTCTACAGAGTAGTTCTAGGTCATATAATCGTTATATGAGGCATGAATGATTTTGTCTGCATCCTTATCCTTAGTGAAGAGTTTTTAAAATAATTGCAATTTTATGAGCTCAGTTGTACTATAATCCGGAGGAACATCTTTTTTATAATTTTGAAATTATAACTTTTCTCTGATTAAAGAAGTTTGAAATTCCTTTTTTGGGCGAAACTGCTTGAATACGCTTGGATAAAACTTTCGCACTGTTTCATACTCAACTAATAATGTGACCGAACGTACGTACTATGCATATTTTTTTATAGTCAACTTTTGTATATAAAGTTTGCGATTGAATAAATTGTCTCCCATTTTTTTTATTTATTGTCAAGTGAAAAAAAAAATTTTCCTATTAAAATACTGCGAATGATAAAATTTTGAAGAAACTTAAAACGTAAAGTAGCATTACATATATAAAGTTGTTACCAGAGGATTGTTTAGCCAAATAAAATATACTTCGGAAGAAGCTGGGATTTTAAAATTTTTTATTGCCGGGGTATTTACATCAAGCATGCCGTATTTTCCAGTCAGCAACTGAACTCTTTCATGGGAAGGAGGTACACAATAACGTAGCGACCTTTCCAGTGAAGCAAGATATGAGAATCTAATATAATGTAAAAGTTTAACATTAGTTGCGTATAGGCTATACACTAAGTTATAGGTGGTTAAGTCGCTGGAACACAAGTAGTTCAGTCCGAGGTTCAAATTCCGGCTAACGGGCTGGCTGCATGGGCGTTTTCGTTGTTTTCCCTACGTGTAACGTGTATATGAGCAATTTACCTTAGAATGTCCTCTACGAAGACATCCCTTTGCTTAGGCAGGTAAGTATCGAGTGCTTTGCCCTAATCCGATAAACCAGCCTAAACTAAGTTATCATTTTGATACATGTTTGTTTTAATAACGCGTATTTCAATCAAATCTATTTTTACATAAAAACTGTAAGGAACTCTATAAACCTTTGTAAAATGACTTCGTTTTTCAACTCATTAAATCATTGATATATTATTAAAAACGTTACTTTACCTTTGACCATTTTAATGTTGGGTTTTTGGCCATAAAATACCCTAATATCATTCCAATGCCATATGAAAAAACGTGACTCAAAGGCGCAGTATAAATAGTTTCTTCGAAATACCTGAAAATTAAACATAATTTTTATTGATTTTTATTGAAATTAATTTGAACTTTACATTCAAGTCCGTAATTGTATCAATCGAGATAAACCAGTGGGTCTAGAAATGAAGGCAACTCATTAAAGAAAATTCATTCCCATCTTTTAAAGGGGTAATCTTACTTTGGAAACAGTTACAGTTATTATTAAACAAAACGTTACAACAATGAAATAAAACCTGATTGTATGACTTTTTATCGCAATAGTTTCTCTTTTACTCTTTTTAATCAGGAAGTGAACCATTTCTAAAAATATTAATGAACTATTTATAACATGTAGTACAATTTAAAGTGCAGTTGCGTGCAATTTTTGATGTAATTGCAGCAGTATTAGTTATGCTGATAATAGCTGTCAATAATTTATAAATTACATCACTGAAACAGTAAAATTAAGCTAATAACGTTGAAAGCAGATTTCTTTTTAATATTTAGCATTTTTTATTAAGTACTTTCAGTAATAAAAGGGATGTTATTATATCAATAATTTAATTTTTACTGATATTTTTGTGATTAAAATACTCATTTATTCTTGATAGTTCCAGCAACGTCATCATTTTTTCTGTTTTAATTGTTTATATTGATAACTTTTATAAAGAGCAGTTTATAGCGTGTTTGAAGGATTATAAATTAATTTTTCATTTGTTGTATTTGTTTGTCTATGTCTATATAAAAGGCTATAGATATATTAAAAGTGGCCAAACTGTTACCATAAATTTAATACTTAGCTGGGTTTCCTTTTGTTCTTAATTTGATTAAATGTTTCTAGATATGATCTTCTGTTACCTTTTGGTTACGTTTTGAAAGAACAATGAGCCTAGATACGCTGAACTGCAGCTTCTTATTCTTGAATCAATTATATTCGACAGAAATCTTTTTCGGCGCTACCCGCCATCCAAAATGCCACATTAATGATAAACAAGAGATATTAAATTTACATTTACGGGCCAAATTATATAAGGTGAGAAGGTGAATTTATTAAAAATTAAGCTACGTTCGGTTTGCGGAACACGAACAAATTAGTATTTTGTATAACCGCTATGGTTACCAATAATTGCTAGGACAGGCCTTGGCACTGAGAAAAATTAATTTTAGGTAAGATTTGGAGGCACGTTATTACAAATGCTATTTCCACGCGCTGCTGAAGTTCATCTGGCATAACTACGGGAAGTACACTGCGCAGAGGAAAAAAAAAAATGGGATAGTCCCTTATATCACCCGTTCTACTGGGCCGATTGACAATTCAAATTGCGTTTTTCATGTCTCGAAAGCGCGACTTAGGATATATATTAAATTGATATATAGCATTGTTCTAACATAGGTGTTTTGACACAAAATCGGACTTTTTCTGAAATAACATACCAATTTTTTTTTTCATATTTCGATTCTACGACTCTAATTATGCCTAAATATTAAATTTGGTAAAATTTGGTGCAAATTTACGGAGAAATTTAAAAATTTACCTTGGTACAATTTTTTTTAGTTTTCGCCAAGAACAATTTACTTGGCGAACTTCTTAATATGTGGCAGCCAATTTTCCTTTCCCTTCCATTATGCAGGAGCAGGAAAAAAAGACACCTCGTTCCTACCTTTTTACATTGTTCATGAGCAGAAAAAATGTCACTTTGTTTCTCCTTCCAAATAATTTTAGCAAAGTGTCTAAACCACATTTGATGTTTTATCGCTTTCAACAAATATGCCAAATTTCAAAATGCACCAATATATAGATTCGCCTATATCTTCTGAAATTTTGAATAAAAAAGTGTTAATTTTTTGCAGTTATGCTTAGAAATACGTCTACTTTAAGATGATGGTAAAAATTTTATAGATTATAATTCAAAACGTTTTCTGAAAAATTTATAAAAATTATTTAAAAACACAAATTTTAAAAATAAGTCATATAAAATGTGGGAATTTTATATGGAATGAACCTAAATTTCGAAATGTGAAAGGAAGAATCAATAAAAAAGAGAGATTAATAAATATATACCAAACTCAATTAACACTGAGGAGCTAAAATTTTGAGAGCTAATTTTTTTAAAACTGCTCGTGCGATTTTTACAAAACTTGGTAGTTTGGCGTAATTTGAGTCGTAGAATCGAAGTTTAGAAAACAATTGGTATGTTATTTCAGAAAAAGTCCAATTTCGTGACAAAATACCTTTATTAGAATGCTGGTATATATAAATCTAATACATATCCCAAGTCGCGCCTTCGAGACATGAAAAACGCAAGTTGAATTTCGTCAATTGGTCCAGTAGAACGGGAGATATAGGAACTGTCCCATTTTTATTTTTTTCCCCCGCAGTGTACATGCTGGGCCAACTTTGACAGTCAACGACCACACGTGCTCGACGGCTGATATATCGAGAGAAAGTGGACTAACGCAGCAGTGCGTCTTAACGTTCCATCCAACAGGCGGTCACGCATTTTGTTGTTGAAAAGTAAGGCTTAAAGGTAAATTCAGTGATTCGAAAATCCAGAAATATAGCGATGTCTGTTGAGTGTGCTAGCGATGCATATTAAGCGGGATTAAAATCCGTAAACCATAACTTCAGGAGACCGATCAGTATGGCGATGTAATAATGCAAGGATCATATTGTCTGTTATCACAATTCCGACAGGTCACTTTGCTAAGATTTTTCATTTTTTGCAGATAAGGCGTTTACAATTTGCCGTCGCATGTTGTAGAGTTCTTCATATTGCTGTGCGATCCCTCACTACTTATGTGCGCAAGATACCTGTCCTCTCTTTAGCTAATTAAACGAAGCTGGTAAAATCCTTTTCATCGGTCAATTCGTACCTCTGCAACCGCTGAATCCGCGTTCGCATCATTGTGGCTCGATTTCATCCAGTACGGACACCGATTTCTCGGGAGGATAATCCGCAATTTCTGTAAACCACAAGTCTTCTTTCGTAAATTCTTCTTTCTTACAACTTAGAAACTTGCTCAAAGGACTGTCATGTTTCTAACGAGGTATATTGAAGATTCTCATGCAGATGGATAGAAGAGAAACACACACTTTTAGTAAACTTATTCTTCTTTTATATAACCTATTCTTCTTTTTTTTAGAGTGCTTTTGAGTGCTGTTACTGACGCACCTGATTTGTACATGCGTTGCAATGCCAATAACTTGCATATCCTATCGAGATTTACGCATAGTATTGGTGCAGAAGTGGACGGCACACCAGAATTTTCTCATTGGTCTTGCATTTGAGGCGAGAGTCGACTAGAGTAATTTGGTGGTAGGAGAAGAATAGAGATAACCTTTAGTCCCATTCCTCGGACTATTCTCCTTTAAAATTGGGACGGAACTGGGCAAAATCGTATCCTAAACTACAAGATTCCTAAGATTTATAACAACGGTAGATGCAGTCTTGTGCTCCTTCCCACGATTAAAATTCGTGGATTTGATCTGACGTTACCGTGAGACAATTCACAACGATATATCAAATCCCATTATAAATAATTGAAATAACCTCAATAAAGCACTATAAAGTAATATTGGATCAATTTGGAGTTCTTCTAAAATGGCATCACTTCGCAGTGCGAAACCTTCCAGGAAAAAAAAAAAAAACCTCGCGCAAGAACCTCCCGGATTTTTATATTTCAAGATTGGAGGTCAAATTCCATCAGTCCGCTTATTCTTTTTATTTCACGAGAGACACATTTTACATCTCTGAATGCATTTATTACTGTTTCTTATACAGTTTAAAACATTATATATCAGCATTATCTGTGATATTGTTATGTTACATAAAACTGTAAAATTAATCATAATTATTTTGGATATTTATCACAGATGCGCAAGTAGATGCACTTTTTTGGAAGGTATACTAGAAGCAACAACATATACAGATAACATGAAATGATGCTTTAAACGAACAAGCTACAATCTGTGAAATATCTGAAAACAAATGTGATACAGCTAATAACATATTTATTAATTAAGACACAATAACACGCCAAATAAATACTGATTCAGAAGTCAAACAACAAAAATCAGCGTTAATTCACAAAATTTTCACAGTGAAAATTCTGTGAAAATTTTGTGAATTAACGCTGATTTTTGTTGTTTGACTTCTGAATCAACATATTTATATTCAAAACTATTCAGATATCAGAAGGAAACTCAGAGCATGTAAGTAATTCTTTATTGCCTGATGTAACAGATAATCTAAAACCATTTTATTAATTTCATATATATCAAATGCTATATAATTTAAGTTAACAAGAAATAAGAAGTGAATTGAATGAGAAACGTTTCACCATTTATGCATAAATACTGAGCTAAAATTAAGGCTTCTAATTTCAACTTATCAGGAATTAGAAGGTTTTTTTTTTATTATTGTTTCTAATGGCAGATTATGAACAGTTACAGCAAAAATACAAGAACAAAGAACATAGAATACAGCAATACAATGGAAGGGGGAAACAGCTGCAACAGAGTCCATTAATCTAACATATCTCTTGCCTCCCAGTAACGCTCGGCGAGAAAAGTCTTCCGCAGAGCAGGACAGTGAGGGTAGATGTGCGGCATCCATTACCTCTCCAGAGCTGCACAGAGTGCATATCGGAGAAGGAACAATTTTGAATCTATGAAGATTATGTTGTAGATAGTCATGTCCGGTGGCAAGGCTGAATTCAGCGACCGCTCTACGCCTTGGCCATTACACAAATTCGGGGGATTTAGAAGGGTGCGCTGTAGATGTACCTCCTCGCGGTGCACCTGGTATCACTTTATAGTAGCTAAAAGATCTACAACTGGCATTATGGATTTAGAAGGTACTTTACGAGATAAAATTAAAATATATATCTGATTTAGCTCATCATTCAAAGTTTTATTTATAATGAGTTAGTCAATATTTTGGTCGAAGAATTAAATCCTCAAAACTGACAGAACATGAACATCATTTGATTCAGTTGAAATTCTTTGTGCAAATGACATAGGAACCGACATGCCTTGTCCGAATAGCAGCTATTCACAGCTCTTAAAAACCTACATCAAATAGCAAAGCGTAAAATAGAAGATGATTGTAAAAATGAATAAAAATTACGTGAAACTTTACGTGCTTTAAGCTTCATTGACATGAAGCTTAAAGCACGTGAAGCTTCACGAAGGAAAGAATCTTAAAGCATGCAAAGTCATCTCTGTATAATAAGAGCACACAGAGAATTTTAGATGGCTGTAACATTATGTTGAAAGAAGCCAATTGGTTCCATTGAAGTATTATCTGGCAGAAAAGTCCATAAACTGGGTCTGTGAGTTCTATAGTCAGGGGAAACTTACTAAATTCATCAAAATCACTAAAATTTAAATCTAGAATTTCATTTTGTATTTAATTTCATCAGGAATAATTTCACTTTGTCAAAAAATTCAGGAATTAAAAACCTTGTCATTGTTGGAGTCAGTTTTCTAGAAAAATATCAGTCAGTATTTGCATGGATTGTACTATCAGGAGAAAGATGGAGCATTATATCAAAATTTTAAAACTCACATGAATAGTTCTCATACCGGATTTTGTCATCCTAGACTTAATGACATCATCTAGAGGCCTGCGTAGAATTATTTGAACCCGTTCGAGACAAATTTGAGAAAAGTACTGAATTCCACCTTGCTGCTCCATTCCACTATCTTGGTCAAAACGTATCATAGCGACAGTTTGCAGTTGTGTTTGTTTATATCAATGTGGGAATGTGAGTCGTCTACAGGTATGTATCATGCTTCATATGGCACTAGTGGCCCTGTGTATGTATTTAAAAATAGATTAGCCCATACATGGAATCTGCCTTTATTGTGGAATTTTTTAAATTTCCTAAATTGGAAATGGCTGTCTGGAAAGTTGTTTCTTATGAGAAGACAGTCTTAATATTTTTCCGTACTGCCTTCGCAGCAACATAGTTCATGTCTGCCCCCTGCGCTGCTACTTTGTTATTTCAGCATCTCCAGGATATTTTTCAACAAGATAATGTTCAACAAATGTAGCCTGAACCTCTCAAGATAGCTGTTGATAATCTCCCACAACTAACGTAAGCACTCAACTTCTTTCTGATCGAATACTGTTAATACATGGAAAAACAGTATACTCCGGTCTCGATATACGTACAAGCTGGTTAGTAGATTTATATCTGCTATTTTGTATCTCAGAATACTGTTCGCTCTTAACTGTTTGCGTCTGAATCTGATAGAGTAATTGGTTGGGTTCGAGTCAGAAGTAACACTAAAATTAACTGTTCATATCTGGAAAGATTACTGACTTATCATAAAACATAATGATCTCTGCTCCCCTTTTGCAGCTGTTTTATCCTAGAAAATGATTTCATTGTTCTCGAATCGTATTGAGTTTTCTTCTTCATATGCATTACAGATGCCAATTCTCAGTACTTGTGGAGGATTTCGTACTGGTACGACTTTTATATTTATTTATTTATTCACTTATTTTTGTTAAAACGCGTCTATAAATCTAAATTTTGATAATTTAAACCTTTTCCTTAGGCTACGCATTTTGAAAAAAAATTGCTTATTTAATATTTATGTAATCAAGCAAATAGTAATAGTAAAGTAATGTAAATTTAATATTTATGGAACTAAGTAATAAAAGTAAGCGTAGCTTGTGAAAAAAATTTTTTTTTTCAGATTTTGCTTTCACTTTTTTGAATAAGACAAGTAATTCTTCAATCTCATATAATCAAAAGAAAATACTCATGTATCAGATTATTACCTTTAACTTCCATCTATCTCATAAATAAATATATTATCCATTAGATTCAAATAAAATATATTTTAACAATTTCGATTGTAACAAAATTTGAAAATTTGTATATTCAAAAACTGTTTGAAATATAATCGTGAAAATAATAATCTTAATCTAAATAACATATTTATACTTACTCTCTATCGTAGTAATAATAAATAGCATAAGCCGCCGGATAGTGCCTTAGAGCTGTGAGAACACCCAGAGCAATATTACAAGCCAAACCTGTTGCTACTGTAAGGCACATCCCCACCTTTACATTCCTGCAAAATAGTTATGGTATTAATGTAATCATTTTCAAAAGTGTTTTTACATGTCAGAGTGTTTTGAACAACTTTAAATGAAACAGATATAGAAAATGATGAAATTTAATTTTAAGCGATTTTAGCCAAGAACGGTTTTTGGAAGGGCAATTTTTAAAAATTTCAAATATTACTGATTCATTTTCATTATTCCAAACGAGCAATAAATACTAATGGTGAGTGATTATAACAAATACCGTATTCAGTGCAAAATATTTATGATGATCAAGAGTCACAAATAATCATGCATAGAATCCTGTTAGTTCGAAATTTGTTAGTTAAAAATTCATAGAAATTTATTGCAAGTTACTTTACATAGTAGTATTGAATTTCTGTATGTAGAGAGGCTCGTTTACAATGCATACTGGCAATTATTTACAATGTATGCTGGTCCACACAGTATTTTGATTGAAAAACATCCTGCAATAATAACCATGATATTTTATAAAATATTCAAATTATCTTTGTAAAAAGATAATAGATTTATTTATAGAATAAGAGCAAAAGGGAGTATCTCTTATTAAATGTAAATAATTATTACTAGAGACATTAGCACTGTGGGCATGCATTAAATGTTTTAAATACAAAATAAGTCACGATAAATAAACTTTATTTTATTTTATCTCAGGTGAAGGGTATTTCGATTAAGTTAATTGGCAGCTTTAAGTTCATTTTACTCTGTTTCATGTGAAAAATATGCAGATTAAATTAACTGCATAAAAATGCATGCAGTTTTAAATACAAAATAAGTCACGATAAATAAACTTTATTTTATTTTATCTCAGGTGAAGGGTATTTCGATTAAGTTAACTGGCAGCTTTAAGTTCATTTTACTCTGTCTCATGTGAAAAATATGCAGATTAAATTAACTGCATAATATACACAGCGGGAAAGCTGTAGACACATCCAACCGTATACGCAAATTTAGCTTCTTTAATTGGGTGCGACTTAGACCCTGTATCGCAGGTGTGAAGGGGACTCCCGCGTCTGAGATGCTCATAAAAAATGCCCGCTTCAGGTGATAAAATAATAAGCCCTATATTTCTACCGCGATTATAACAGAAGGCGCGAATAAAATACCAAAATAAAGCTAGAACAGTGCTGTGTTTGGACAAACCAACTAGTTGAATAGATTAGCAATCAACAGGCAGATAGCAAGGGGTCCTCTTCCACAGAGCGTGGTATCGGTTTTAAGGCGGACCAATTTTCGGTGAACTACCTTGTAGTAAAAACATAACAAAGTTATATTTTATATATTTCATTTATATACCAGTTGTTTCAGACCAGAATGTTCCATGAGACTATGTTTTTAATGCTTAATATTTAACCTGTCTAAATATATCAACTTATCTTAGAACTTACTTGCCCATCACCCATAGCAAAATAGCTCCAACGATAGAGATTTGCATCAAACATGGAATGAACCATAAATATAAGAAATTCTGCAAGAAATAAATCATTTTATGGACATCATATTAAATAATAAAAATAAGAACTCAATATTAAATTAACTTATAACATATGAAAAAGTGAGATTAATTTTTAATATAATTTTCAAGAGTCATGAAGTACTTAAAAAATAAATTAACAACAACAGAATACTTTTGATAACACTGGAGAAAACAAAATAGGAATATTTCAGAATTCGGAAGACTGAATAATTTCAGTTGGATAGTAACAACGTTCACCGAGCAAATATGAATTACGAAACCTCAACTGTAATAAAAAATAACAACAAATAAACAAAGCAAGCATTTAGGGGGGAAAAAAAGAAGTGACCACTTAAGCATTCATTAGTTTGAGTCAAACATTTTAATATTTTAAAAATATTTCAGAAGATATTCGTAAGGCATAATAACTTCATATTCAAAGAATGCTTAGTAGAGAATTATTTTCCCTCAAGAGTAGATTTTAGGCACTTTGCATCTTACATCAATGCGCAACTGAAATTTAAGTACAGTAAGACACCGCTTAACGCGCGGTATACGTTCCATCAAAGTAGAGTGTAATATGAAACAGCGTTAAACGAGGTTATTTCATCATGTAAATAATGGGGTTAGGGCAAGATGGGTAGAAAATTGGTCAGGTATTTTACCACTAAATTTATTAATTATGTTTTTATCACTTACTACTTCTCCTGTAATCTGTATGTTATGAAGATTATTTCGATGTTTAAATCTATCAAACCATCCTCGACTTGCAACGAAAGTTTCACTTGTGTCACTTGCCTCAACATGAATGTAATTAAAAATTCTTCTTGCTTTTTCCATTATAATAGGCTGGCTTAATGGCATATTGCGTTCAATTTCGTCGTCAATCCATATAGAAAGTCGTTTTTCCATTTCCTCTACTGTATTATTTCTAGAACGGGTAATTCTAGTTGCAGAGCTTGTCGTCGTTGCAGTTGCCGATGACAGTATTTTTTTCTTTATTGTTAAGAATAGTCCTCATTGTTGAAGTATTGACGTTCACCAGTATCTAATCTTCTAATTACTAGCATTTTAGTTTCTAGTGAAATGCTTTTTTTTTGTTGCTTTATTTTTTTGTTTTTTATTACCACCCATGATAAAAATCTAAAAATGATAATATTGTCACTATATCAATCGTTATATTATATAAATTTATACTTACAATAACGTCGCCAAATGTTTGAAACTATAAAAATACTTTCGTATAACACCGCAGAATAGAAGAAACATAGATAAACTGCTTCGGATATCGGGAAGCCTAACTCTGCATGCAATTTCGGGTAATCCCACAATTAAAATAAAAAAGCGTTAAACCGAAACAGCGTTAAGCGGGGTCTTACTGTACCGTATTTGCCCGCGCATAAGACACTTTTTTTCTTTGAAAATAGGTCTGAAAAACGGGGTGCGTCATATACGTCGATACTCAGTTTTTGATTACATCCATTTCTTGAAATTTCTTCTATTCAGAGTTATGAAATTTCTTTTTTTCTTATTTCTTTGCGGAGTGTGGGAATATTACAGTTACATGGAGTTCAGTGAATGCGCATGCGCTCTCATCGACGATCACAGCTGGGTTCTTTTAAACTTTCCAATTTTTGTGAACGACTTTTAAGTGTGTGAAATTTCTACTCTTTTGTTCAATTTGTTGGCAAGTTGTAGTGAAGAAGATTAAAGGTTTTGACGATGAAGTTTGAATGGTGTTCTTTCCCAGATAGATTGGGCATCTGCAGAAAGCATTACTTTGTATTTGTATTACTTTATATTTAAAATACTGTAAATTCATTGTAATTATCAGTAATAAAATTCTGTCCTTCAAAAATGTGTATAAAAAAGGAAGTGCGTCTTATAGGCCGGTGCGTCTTTTATACGCCGGCAAATACGGTGCTTAAAAGTTTATTTTTACGGCATTTTATTGAACAGCCGGCTGACTTAAAATGCATAGCTGAATAACTTTCGATCACTAGAAAAGTCTCTTAACACTTCCAGAATGCCATATCTTCCAAGATTATTGTTAGTGAAATAGTAAGAAATCATAGGATAAAGACAGCGGAATCACAAAAAGGGGAGAAGATGTAATAGCTGACTTAGCGTAGATATAAAATACACTCTTTTGCAAAAAAAAATCGAAGCACCATGAAGAAAGTGATTGTTTTTGATGAAATATGTGTATAGATCATACAGAAGTAATTAAAAAATCAAATAATACAGAATCAAATCATACAGAAATAATTAAAAAATGCATAAAATGATTAAAAAATAAAGGTCATAGTACCTGTTCAGGGCTCACAAGCACCCGTTTAGTGTTCAAATTAGTAGTTGGTTGAACCGGCCTTGCGGCAATGCATGCTTGAATTCGTCGAGGCAAGGAGTGGCAGAGGTTCCTAATGCTATCTTGCGACACATTCTGCTAGGCATTCATCAGTTATCGCTCCAGATCTGCGATATTTTGTGGTGCCCCAATCTGACGGTCTACCATGCCCCACAGGTGCTAAAATTGGTAAAATGTCTGGTGATCTTGCTGGCCAAGGAAGAGTACCAACCGCACGGAGACAGTCCAGAGAGGTATGTGTCCTGGACGGAGGATTACTAAAGACGACCTGCTGTAATAAGAAATAAAGCCCCACACCACTACACCAGGGGTTATGGCTGCATGCCTTTGTAAAACAAAAGCTGATTGGAACCGCTCTCCAAACACGAAAATGGTGGTCGTCTGCTTCAAGAGTGAAGCGGGATTCATCACTGAACACTATACGATTATACGATGCCATTCTGATGGCAGGCATGATGATCGGCAGCGACACCACTCCAGATGACTCCGCCGATATTGTGGTGTCAAAGGCAAAAGTCTTAAAGGCCTCTGTGAGCGTAACCCTGCCTCAGACAAGCGCCGCGAGATGGTGGACGGTACCACGGGAGGTATAGACGTGGCTGTAATGCGTTGAATAGTCGACAATGATACCGTTGGGGCGGTTCGGGCATGGCGAACAATCATCCTATCTTGCCTCGCATTTGTGGTCCTTGGCCTTCATTTCGTCGGCAATTTCCTTGAAGCAACCATTGCTGCCAACATCTTTGCACAGCAGTGTCTGTACGCTGCAGGTGGCGGCCTATTGCTCGGTATGACCACCCAGCTTCACTCAACCCTGCAATGCGACCACGTTCAAAGTCGTTTAGTTGTCTGTAAGGTCTTCGATATCGTCGTAATGGCATCTTTAGTTGCCATTACGGAATTACAATGGTAGCAATAAAAAAAGTTACATTTTCCGCCTCTGTTACTGCTTTTATACTTTGCGAATTGCGCACAAAAATGTGCGCTATGATCGTAATTCCTGTTCATTTGCCTTGAAACGTTAAACATTTGCATGTTCGATCAAGATGTTTTTGCATACCAAATTTCGTCACGATCGCAAACGTGGTTCTTGGTGCTACGAATTTTTTGCAAAAGAGTGTAGCTCTGATATTTCAGAGACCATTAGGATTTCCATAGCTAGGAAACAAGTGGAAAAATCAACTGCGCTCTCGCGGAAGTCGAATCATTTATCTTCTGATTACTAGACGAAAATGTTAACCACTTAAACAATAAGCGCACACACAGAAAAATTCGATAATTATTTACATTCTCTCTCATTTAAAAGGTAATTGAGAAGTAGTAAACACCCATCCGACCAAATCCAGGTATTAATGTTTTACCTTCTACCTCATTTTATCTCAAGCACAAATGTAAACACCATTAGGTTTTTCGGAGCCGAAAACTTAAAAAATAAACTATGCCTTCAATTGCAGTTTATACAAGGAAGATTAGAATCAAGGATTTTCTGATCACTTGTTAGACGTGTTAACCAATTACATAACGAGAGCACGTACAAGAGAATGCTATAATTCCTAACATTATTATCAATACATGATGCATAATGAAACATTTCTGTGTTGCAGAAGAGAAAATACATTACACTAGGGTGGACGTGAGACGCATGCAAAATTTACCATGAGAAATTAATTTCAGGAGGAAAGCAATGACATTAATCGATTTACGTTATACACGTAACTAAATACGGTAAACTATTGGCTATGGAGAAGAAAATTAGAGCGCATAAATAAACAACAGATTTTTGAAAACATTGTAGATCCAGAATGATATCAAAATTTGTTAATCATCAAAGGAAGCCACTGAATTTTAAAATTAAAAAAAAAAATCTTTCTTACATGCTATATTCCTTTTTCAAAACATACGAGATATCACAGTCTTCTAATAATATCAAAATTTGACACAGCTGAAAATTCAAATTAAATATTTAATATCTGTAGGTTTTTAAAAAATCTTTAAACTTGCAAATCTAAAATAATCATTTCTAAATGACTATTACGAAATAATTCTCGTGTAGGTCAAAAAAGATAATCTTTACCTTTCTTAAAACTAAATGAGCAAATCTGCATAATGGCTGCATTTTTATGCAGAGGAGCACATAACTTGATATCTTTGGAGCTTGCATAAATTTCACAACATCTATGCAGGATGAAATTCAGTTGAAATGAAAACAAAAGAAAAAGTGTATTAAAATTGGCAATAAACGACTTAGTTTCTTCAGTTATTCCAGATTCTGAATTTATAGACAATTCTGAAAGGATTAATCTTGCATTAAAATTGCTTTATCTTTCTAGCTTTATTGTCCAAAAAATTAGTAAGTGAGAAAAGTGATTATTTTCACAATTTCTCATAATTTATCTAGAACTCCAATACAGAGATACCGAAGATTTTCAAAATCGATAGTCGTATTTACGATGCGTCTACAAATTTTAGGAATATATTTCTTATAAATTCCAATATACTTGTCGAATAATAATTGAGAGCATTTATTATCACGACATCTGAAATTGCTTTTCCTAAAGTATCATCTATTTACTGACAGAATGTTTTATGCAGTTAAAGATTTGCTTTGACCCATAGAATATCTGATGTCATGGATTCGAAATGAGGCAATGGTAATAACAATAACGTAAGCTAGGCAATGAGAATAACAATAACGTTTTGACAGAAAGTAGGTAAAGCAAACACGGAAACTTTTAGAATAGTATTATGTAAATGATACGAGGATCTATAAGATAATTCTCCCGCCTTCTTAGCATGCCTTCGTGGTGTAGCAGTCAGTACGCTCGACGCGCATTCGAGAGGTCAGTGGTTCGAGTCCCGGCGAAGGCATTGCTCATTTTTCATCTTTTCTGCTTCGGAATATCCTAATGTCTCTACAGTAGCACCCGAACTAAAAACGGTGGTGAATAATGATTCTCCACCACCAGGATTTGGCGACTGGGTCCCCTAAAACCCAGTCGTCCTTTAGAAGGGAAGTATATAAAGTATTTCTCCCGCCTTCTTAGCATGCCTTCGTGGTGTAGTGGTCCGTGCGCTCGAAGCGTAATTGAGAGGTCCGTGGTGCGAAACGAGGAATTGTCGTCATTTATGGTCTCCATTGAACGAAAACATCAAAAGTGCTCGATAACGGTTGTTGTAAATTCGCTACTTATCTCTTCCAAGGACTGCTAATCAGGGAAGCGGAAGATGTTGGAAAAAAGAGTGTTCTTGAATTTTTTTATCTCATGCGATAACTACAGGACAGGAAAGGAGATCGAATTTCTGCATGTCGTGTTATGATCCAAATGGTAATGTTAATCCTCATATTTTTCAAAGAAATTGTTCCGGAGATGAAACTTGGTACTTTCTTTGTGATGAGATAAAATTGCGATCATCTACTTAAATTGAAGAAGATTCACTACCACCATATTAACTTAGCTTCAGAAATCTCAAGTAAAGATTGCATTGGTGACATTTTTGATTGGAAAGGGGATAACTCAGAAGTAAATTGTTTCTAACTGAATCTGTGGAGCAAAAGTTTCTGGTTTCTGCTGCAGATAACACGCCGTTATATTATTCCATTCTATTGAATTTCTAGCTAAATAGTGTCTCAATTTTCATCCGCATCACTTATTTACCAGATTTGGAACTTACTGACTACTTTTAGTTTCATAAAGTGAAGTCTCGTTAAGATCATTATATCAACAGCAAAGATTTTCAAAGATCGTTATTTCAATAGCACTGAAGAAAATCAGACAATTGCAACCAGAAACTTTCAGTATTCCAGAATACAATAGTATTTCAAAAGACGAATTCTATAAACGAATTAAGTAGCAGTATGAATATGCTAAGTGTTCTGTACACTCACAAGGATTATATATAGCGTAAATTAAGAGATAATAGTACTGTTTTCTTCATACTTTTCATGTTGTAAGTATTCTTATGACTTTGTAAACACAATTTATATTTTTTATAATAAAATTAACAAATTACAGGAATACATACATTTATTTGAAGATATGCTTACTTGATCTTTGACTTCCAAGAAGTTATTATACATAAGAGCATATGTATACCACCATTTCCTTGTGTTGTCAGCTGCTGTGTCAAAAATGTCTACCCAAACTGGGCCCGATCCAAAGACTGGCAATATAACAATAATGCCAAGAATAATCAACATTGATGGTCCTAATCTATTGAATTGAATAAAAAAAAGCAATCAGTTGTATAATACATCAAAATATATTTGCTAAATTGTTTATTAACACAAAAAACCTTGCTTCTCCTAAGCATTTAATCACACTGTTTTTTATAAAGAATATTACTATTCAAGACATTTAAGTTATAAGAAATTTGTAAATCTCTCATTTTCACATAAGGCGTTATTACGTTAGACAGAAAATTATCAGCAGTGCAAGTGTAACAGAACGAACTTAGTTTGTTAATAAATCATGGACTTAACAAATTTAATAGAAACATTATCTGTGCTGCTTACAGGATAGCAAAGCATTATTAAATATTTAACTCATTCTACTTATGCAAAATATAACCTAAAACGTGTATAGTAAAATACTAACTATCATCAAAATAAAAACATAAATAAACTTTAATAAAAGGAAACTTATCAGCCCTGACTTTCGCGCCTTTGTCGCAGCTGCTATTAGAAGTAACAGGCGTGCCCACTTTTCTACGAATAATGAGAATATATTCTAACAGTTATTTTAACTTAACCCTTAAACTAAGACAGAGCAATAAAGAATATTGTGTCTTAAAAGTGCACAAATTATCATGCACAAATTCAGGACCTGAAATAGAATAATCAGATCTATCAAGCTGCATTCAAATTCTAATCAGTTTTAATCAAGCTGGCTGCTTTCAATGTATTTTAGAATGAAATGTTTTGTTGTCTAAATCATAATTTAAAGATACAAAATAATTTTTATTTGTAAAGCTGTATCTAAAAATAATTTTAATTGGTTAATAAAAGACTACTGGAAAGTCACTTACCTAAGATAACGCCGCACGATAAGTTTTATCATGTTTACTTTCACAGTTTCTTCACCTCTTCTAAATCTGGGATACACTAAAAACATCCCTCTGCAACACACACAAAAAAATTGACAAATACAAATTTTCTGTGCATTACTTCAATCATGATAACTATAAAATACTGAATTCATAGAAATTAATTTACTAAAACAATTTATTTATTTGTGCTTAAAACAAAAGTTGAAGTATGGAGGAACAAAGTAAAAAGTTTTGAAGTAAAAAGGTTTTGGAGAACTACAGTCTGCACCTAACTCTATTTTGGGCAGAGCAAATTTGATTATATTTAAAGTATTAATCTCGCAGACAGTCGCTGAGCTTTGTGTCACGGACAATCAGTGCTAAAAGAGGAAAAAAAACCTATGCACCTAGTAAAAAGATCGATTTTAATGAAACTTAATTAACAAGGAGGAGATAAAGATGAAAAAGTGTGAAAAATTAGATGCCAACCAATTCGTTCAATAGGAAAACATATTTCCAGAACTTCTACATATTTGAACGATCCATAATCTGGATTCAATAAAATAAGTTGATTTCGATCAGTGTGAATTCGTGTAAATTTCGAATGCTTTGTTGTGGAATTTGTTACACGTTCTGTATCTACTGAGCAAATTGTACATGTTGTGAAATAGCAGCGTCTCTACCGTCTAGCGTATAACTTTTCTATTAGAGAAAGGACTAGAGATCTGAGCGCCAAGGGAGAGCTATGACATCATGCAAACGTTTTTGAATACATTTATGATGTATATGAATTTCCATGAAAATCATGGATGCCATGCTGAAAATGGCTCTCGGAAGAAGTTTACAGCAGAAACGATCTTAATGTCATACAACAGGTCACAAAGTGTTATCGACGTACCGTCGGACCAAGAAAATAATGAGCAGGATCGCTAAGGATTACATGTGTAATAGGTATTGTCCCTCAGCTGGTACCACCAGGTGTGATAGAAGCATCGATGCCATTGAAGAATAATGCTCGATGAATAGTTCTGTACATCTCCATGAATTTTGCGTTGATCTGAGGCAAGGGAAAACTATGATTCATAACTTAGAGCAGTTTCGGTCTGCGATTTCAAGCTTCATGGTCGGGGCATTAGAGTAAATGCATCTGTCGACGAAAGGAGTAAAGCCCATACCAACTTATGAATGCGAAATGAAGTGGCAACTTTTCATACAAATGCGTTTTCCTGGTATCAGAAAATTCGCGGAAGTAAAGGTTCCTTGAAATGTTGCCTTCGACGAGAGAATTAAGTCTATCGTATAACAGTATCATTAATAGTAGACTCTTCAACGAATTTCCACAATGGGTTCTAGCCTATGCCAGTCTTCTTGTAGTAAAGATATTGTATATTTAGAAAATGTGGCTCTGAATGGTGGTCAGTATTTATGATAGCTTTCAATATCTCATAATTCAGCTGAGAAGTTGTCATCCTAAGACAGCCATTCCTCCATGATGGTTATGGACGTCCTGTACAGATCATTGAAAAACGCCATTTGTTTTTAAAACTACATTGGCTGAAACCGCAGTTTTAAGTCTTCATTTTCTTTTAAGCATTTGACTCTACTGCTGAAGAAGTAACAACCTCAGCCCAGCTCTTGAGCTCCACTGGCAGCCCCAGCATTTAGATACACGTCTTTCCATATCCGAATACTCATAACAGCCCATTACGTATGAAATTCCATAGAATTTTAAGAGCGAAATGATTTCCTAATGCATTAAAAAGCCTCATCTGCCGTTTACATGCGTCAGATGAATACGTATATTTATTGACAAAAATATTTATTTTAGTGAATTCTTCCAACCATTTACAGTATATTTTTACGTTAAGTACTACAACTATTATGTATGTCTTCATCGGAAACGCTTCAGCACCACATTAATTGCTGTACTGTAACCTGAAAAAAAGTGCATTCACACATCATTTTTAGTGAAAAATTCCTGTACATTGCTCTGTCTTAGATGAAAATGTCTGGTAACTTCACGATCATCTGTACTCATGGCTTCGGTAAAACCAGCTAGCATGTCGGAAGTTGGAGCAAAACGTTCATAAAATATTTTCTGCCGGGTTGGCGGAGTTATATTCTTTTCCTCATTTTCTGGACACAGAATTTCATAGATAGAAGCTCATTGTTCACAGGATTGAAACTCATCGATGACGTGACGATCATTATTGTAGAGAAATTTACTCATGCTGGCTATGTTTTTAAATGTGCTGCATTCTGTGAGGTTTTCAATTAAACTGGACAGAATATTTTTGAACGCAACCCTAACAGAGAAGCAAGAGGAGAAAGCACACAAATTTGAAAGTTTGAGTTAAATAATAAAATCTAATGACTGACTAAAAAACTAAAAAACTAAATAGACTAAAAAACAGTTCGGAAACTGAATGCTGACCAAAATATTGTTAAACGATAAATTTCCTATAAGATCACATATATCGCTGATGGGACCAAAATTCTCTTGAAGATAAACGATTCACGCTTTAAATGAGTTCGTATTAAAGAGGGGGGTCTGTACCATAATTTTCGGAAGAAGAACAGCCCGATTTGTAAGAAATAAGTAAAATTCTTCTATTACATTTATTGCTCGCTTCGAATATGATAAATATTGCAGTTACAAGAAAAGAAAAGTTGAATTATTAGTGAAAAAAGGAAAAAGAAAGTTCTTTGCTTGCGATTTACGAAGAAATGTCAAATATAAAAATGCGAAAGGTTTAATTAATCTAAGATAGAATAAACTAAAATTTAATAGAATTTAGTAACTGAAGATATTATATGCGCACACGCCATAAACATTTTTAATATGTAATTGATGCTAAAGATGATAGTGAAAGTTAATGATTATAAAGAAGATATAGTTATCAATGGTTGAAAGACTTCATTATTCTTTGCGAAACATTCTCGAAAAGAAATTAAATTAGCGATGCAAAATAAAGATGCGCAGCCGGTCATTGTGTAACTAAAGCAGAGATGAATTTTAAAATAACACTTTTCAGAAAAATTTATGACAATTTAATTTCAATTTTTAAGACAAAAAAAAAGAAAGAATTCAAATTAAATTAAAAAGGAGAGTTAAGGGGCTATCTCAAATCAAAATTAGAATCTTAGTCTATATTAAATTAATGATTATTATTGAAAGAAAAATGGATTTGAAGAAATAAACATGATGGATAAGAAATCCAAGATGCATAGGTAACCAGAAATGACGCAATAAAATGATAGATGGTTCTTATACGAATTTTGCAACATTATATATTAATCCAATAAAAGAACAGCACATATTGCGAAATAAATTCATATATGTATATCCTTCATACACATAATCACCAATAGCCTTGAAAGGCTTCGAATGAATTAACTGTAGTTTATTTATTACAAGTAAAATGTTTAAGAATTTTTTCATTATCAATGAAAATAAACATTTATATTTATGAAAAAAGCAAACAGAATTTATCTACTAAATATTTATAAAAAGCTTCAGTCAGCCGATTACTTACGAGAAGAGAAAATACGCTTCAATGCTTATGCCCATAACAGCAATCAATGTAAAAAAGAAATCATCCAAGTATGTCCCAATGTTAATAACATGACCTGAAAGGAAACTGTAAGTTATTATGATAAACTTAGTATGAAACATTTTCTTCTCTGTCTGGAATCAATAAATGTTAAAAGATTTCTGCCTCCACTAAGTCAAACTATTCATAAATTGTCTGTTTGTCAAACTATTCATAAATTTCAATTGAAACTGAGCGAACACTTTTCTTAAGCAACCTTACATAATGGGATCGAAAATGTCAAGCCATATTTCAATTGAAACTGAGCGAACACTTTTCTTAAGCAACCTTACATAATGGGATCGAAAATGTCAAGCCATATTTCAATTGAAACTGAGAGAACACTTTTCTTAAGCAACCTTACATAATGGGATCGAAAATGTCAAGTCATGAATGGCTTAACATTTTGATTGTCATTTTGACATTTTGATTTGACATTTTGACTGATTTATTATAAAATAAAATTTTATAACAAATCAGGAATTCTAGTGAAACTCTTACGAAAACAAAATAAATTTTATGAAGGATTAGCATTGTTTTATATAACAACTTCGATTTCGTAGCAAAATACAATTATTAATTTTGTGCTAATTTTGACGGGAACATTATCCTAGAATGGTAGAACCATTTGCTTGTTAAATACCGTAGGCGCCTTCTACCCACCATATCTCGGGCGGTATTTTTTCAAGAGCATCAAATGAGCTGTAATGATTTTTTTCTGGTTGCTTGATGAACTTAACGTTGTTAAATCCAGTTCTACCGTGTCTTCTCTTCTTCCTCCTTCCCGACTTCTTGATCTCTTTGTCAGTAACTTGCTTTTAATAACTCATTATGATTTCAGAATTAATTTTTGCGTTCGTCAAGTGCGCTTTTATACCTTCTTCAATACCCCCAATCCTCTAAATCGTTTTGAAATAAACCCATTACAGGTACAAGTTTGGCAACTCAGTGAGCAGGGTGTCGTTATCACTCGCTTCAGACACTTTTGAAAACTATATTTAACTGCACGATTAATTCCTTTATTTCTTTTAAATTACTTATTCTACATAAAGCCATAGAATTTTTCCATAATTTAACAAATAGCGTTTAAGGCATTCTTTCACAGATCAACACCATACAGATGAGATCCTAAATGTCTGTAGTCTTCAACGTACCAACAACTTAAATACTTTCAATCTCCAGATTGCAGAAAATTTTCGTAACATAGAAGGTCAGAATAAAATTTTTCTGTTTTCTTCTTTGCATTCATCTAGATGAGTAGTGCTTTGTCTAGTACTTTTAAACAAGCCTTTTCAAGCTCATCAAGTGCTTTCTTTTAACTTGAGGCTCGAACTCACTAGCAGACCACACTCTAAAAAGGTAGGACTTCATCCAAATTAATTTCTGTGTCATTTTATATACCATGGTCACATTCTTAATGAACTCCCGAGATTACTTAGGCTTCTCAGTTATAGCAAGAAGAGTTTTGCACGTCCTGTGACATTAGAACAAAGAGCAAGAGTTATTCTCTCTCTTTATTTTATTTAAATCTAGGAAAGTTGTTGTGACTAGCATTTTTTTTTTTTTTTTTTTTTTTTTTTTTTTTTTTTTTTACAGAAACAAACTCAATCTATAGTTTCGTCAAAACTGTAAATTTGTTCTGTATGCGAATCGTTTTCTTCAATGTAGTATTTGACTAATTTCATCATCGTTTTGAGCAAGTGGTACTAACATTCTGAAATATTATTCCAGTTAGAATCTTAAAATAAAATTAAAATTACTTATTGCTGTAAACTTTCGTTCAAATTTCCATATGAAATGTATAGCGTCTTTCTATAATTAATTTTGATTCTATTAGAATTTTTATTTGATACAGAACTGAATTTTAAAATGGTTCTATGATTTTGGTCTAGGATCATATAAGAAAATTTCAATGAAATTTATATATTACGACTGAGAACGTGCTCTTTATAATATGATAAAACATTTTACTAGTGCAAAATATTTCTATTCATTAAAGGAAAATTATTGCAAAGCTACATTAATATAATTCTCAAGCAATTTTCACTTGTTTATTATTCAAAGATTCTTTATATCCTCAAGAATTTTAAGAGGTTCTAAAACTTAGTTTTGGATTCGATATTTCATTTAGGAATATTACGTTCTTTTTTAGGCACAGAAGAATAAAAATCGTGATATAATAGATATCTTCATATACTTACTAGAAAACGTCGTCAAAAATGGTAGGAAATATGTATGGTATATAATAACTAGAACTGTGCCCATGACATACATTCCATTAACAACTGGGATCTCTCCACCACTCTTTTTCGAAGGTGTCATTAACTTTTTCGTGTTACTATAAACCGAGAAGGCTAAAAGCAACTTAACAAATTTATCTGAAAAAAAAAATAAAAATAAAAACATGTTTTACATACAATAATAATTATTGCAATAATAATATACATTTTATTAACATCTGTAAGATCTATTTCAGGTGTTACTGATTTCATGTTGAATAGAAAAACATGTCCTGTCAAAATAGAATTATCAATTATCAACTGACAGCTATAGTTATTATTTATTCCATCAGTGTAACTAGTAATAGCATATTTTAATAAAGAATTGCATTTCGACTATAGAATTTTTGCTTAGCTATCTTGTCTATGGAATTTTTTTCAGCATCAAAAATAAAAACCTATGATAATGCTAAAAATAAATACTTTTGTACCTTAATTTATTTCGAAACAAAAATTAATTTTATTAGAAGGCAACAACGGAATTAATTTAAATTAAAGGATAGCTGAAATCTTTTCATAGTTTCCTGCTGATTTATGCTGCAGCAAAGTTCGATACAGATTTGAATTGTTATACTTTCTATTCAGTTTACTAAAGATACGTAGTGTATTTATAACTATTTCTGATTATAAAAATCATTCATATGTTTTAGCCCTCTGACTGGCACGGGATTTCACTAAGAAAGCCCAAATTTCCTAAAACTGCCACTGGAAAGCAATATTTTTTTATATTAATGCCAAAATACCCCAAGTATTTTATACCTGCATCTATGTACTTTTAATATATCGCCTTAATATGTTGAACATTTTTGAAGACGTAAGTATATACTATACATTCTTACAGAAATCACAAAATATAGTCTAGGCCATATATTTATGCCCTTTCCGGTCTTAAAGCTTTCGCAAGTTTCAAAATAACTTATGAAAACAATGCAGGTTTTCATGATTTACGCTGAAATCGAGAAGAATATACTGCAAGTTTTTTTAATTTTTATTATTAATGTTCCATAACGATTCTAAAATCGTTGGTATATTATATTTAGTGCTATTGCCATGTCAGTAAAAAAGATTCTTATAAGATCAAATGAACGCATGTGAATATAAAAGAACATTTAAAATCGGATTTTAAATTATAATCAACAGAGAGTTACAACCTGATCATACTGCAATGTTTAGTAAATTATAAATAAACTTCTCTTTCTATTATATGCGGTAAATTATTTGTGAATTTTTTTAATTTACGAGCTACCTTCGTTTAGAACAAGAAACATATTAATTATTAACTGCTGAATTCTATTTTTTTACTTTATCTAGGAGTATCACGGTACTTTTTGATTACTTCCTAATCTCCACGAAAGGTGGCCGTTTCTTTGCTGTTCTATTCATAAATAACAAAAAGAAGTATTATATAAATTCTAAACTAAGTGGCATAAACAGCCCATAAAGAGCCACGGTCGGCAGCGCCCTGATATCTGCTTTCTAGACCGTAGGTTCCGCGGTGTGCTTGTATATCTTAGCCTGGACAAGTGGTCACTTTCTCCCAGGAGCCCGGGTGTTTATTCCCCAAGCGATTGGAGAAAAAAAGGGATACCGAATCACACAATATTAAGTGCAGAAATTTACATGCATTTAAAAACGTACGCGGTGCACGCATGCTTGGGTTAATTGCTGTTACCATTATACTCGAAAAATGCACTAAAAGTGCGTTTGAAACTGGAGATGAGTCTGGATGTACCATAGTATTAATCTTGCAACAAAATTATTTCAGACTTTGTAATCTCAGTTAGAGATAACATGAAATAATTTTAGAACACCTGGTGGTTACGTATTCATGCATACATTTGTGACAATTTTGCAGAAGAAGCCACCAATTAATTTTTTAGGAATGGTCCAGGTGCTGTAGAGAGATGTGGCTCGTACACGAGTGGAATGCGTGATAAAAAAATAAACTTGCAGACATTGAGTACTTTGCAGATAACAGGCCACATTATTTTATTTTTCTTGAAGAATAATTTAATAAGCATACTTTTTAATAATTAATATTTTTCACGTCATTAGGGGTGGAAAAAGCACTTCACAGTTCTATAATCACGGATCACATTTTAAATAGCAAAAGATACAGCTAAGCGAAGAGACATGAGTTACCCAGACAATAGCAAGCAGAGAAAGTTACAGTGCACTTTAGCAGAACCTATAAATAAGTTTGGAATCTTTTATTTGAATCCTGAGCAATGATTGAGCAAGTTCTTTGGCAATGGAGAAGAAATAATGACATCAGTGGCTCAGTATAGATTCTTTGAAGGGGAACGTAAGCTAATAAAGTCACGAATTAAAAGGGCTATTACCAAATTAAGTTAGTAATTGTGTTCCATATGTTAAATATCACACATACATATGTGTTTATATATATATGCAATATTTCTCCTATATACTAGAACTATTCTCCTACATACTAGAAAACATATATATATATATGTGTGTGTGTGTTCAATGTGTGAAAAATACTTTAAATCTGCCTTAAAAAGGGGGATAGAATTCAAAATCTCTGCATTCTTCTGTTGTATGGTTTATTTATCTGTTGTTTGACGCTAAAATTCCATCACCTAATTATTGTATACTTGTAAAAAATTTTCTTCCTCCTCCCTGCGTTTGTTAGTGGTGTGATTTAAAGTGCGCCTAGCTAGTAATAGGAAATTCCGGAGTTCAAGTCCAGCAATTTTCTGTGTTTCGATATTCCATGAATGCTGAGCTTCCCTGTTTCGTGGTCCGATAAATGCCTAATCATTCTGTACACAACAAAATGTTTTTTAATTTTCTTTGTTACCTTTATATTGTCAAACAAGTGCAAAATAAATTACAAATTAAACTCTAAACGGATTTGCTTTGAAACTGTGACGTTTTGGGTAAGTGAAGCAGAACAACCTAACGACCGTTTTTTAAAATTTCTTACTAACCTGCTGTAATTGTCGTCACCATTTAGAAACTTCAGTTTGAGAACTAACCGCGTTCTCCTATATACTAGAACTTGTTTCCTTCCAATTACTCTTTAACCCTTTAAATCCCAACGGCCCTTTTTGGTTTCAGGGTAGCATCCAACGGAATCTGCCAGAATATTTTAGTAATCAGTACACCGCGCATCATTGAAAATTCTTGAAACTATCTCTCGAATCGTCCCGATAATTTTGGACAGAGATAATGAAGTTCAGGCGCATCAATTAAAATTCTTAAAACTATCTCTAAAATCATCCCGATACTTTTAGACATAGTAACGAAGTTTATGAGCATCATTTGAAAATTCTTGAAACTATCTCTTGAACTGTCCTGATAACTTTGGATATCGATAATGAAGTTCACTCGCATCATTGAAAATTCTCGAAACTACCTCTTGAATCGTTATGATAATTCTGAACATACATAACCTATTTCTCATAAATCTATTAATTCATGACGGGCTATATAAAAGCTTCTTCGAGCACTTATTCCATCTGCCTCTGAGCCGAACTCTTCAACCTAGCTGTTTAGTTTTGAGCTGTTAACCAAATACATGGCAAGTGGAAACTAATGTTACAGAAACGAAAACATACTTGTCACTATTATAATGAATTTATTTCTCAAATGCAGATATAACATGAACACGTAATTCTTCATATTTCTATGGACAAGCACAGATGTTCGATGTGGAGGCCTTTCGTAACACGGGATACGTCTGCACAATACTTTAGTTACTAAGCTCTTGCCAAATAGGTGTATGGTTCCACCATATTCTAATTGTTGGACCCATAAAGGCCATCACATGACCTACCGTCACGTCTTAAGTTTCTCAGAATAGTAACTCAGAAAGTTTGAAATAAATTATTATCAGCCTAGGTTTACATAGTTCAACTTTCCCTTGGGTTACCTAACCTGTATACATAAAAAAAATCTCAAATGGAGAAAAAATCGAAATGGAGTCTGTACGCAGAAGATACTTAAGAAATTAAAAGATCAGACTTCAAAAATAAATGTTTATGGGAGCAAATTTTCGCATTATTACTGAATTTGTAGTGATCAAACAGTGGATCATTGTACAACTTTTCGTTTGGCTACATTTCGTTTGGCTTTAAGCTTTTATGAAGGACATGTAAGACGGACATCATGACAGAAAATTAGGAAGACCAAGAAATATCAACACGTTAAAAGAAGTGTTATGCTTGGCGACAGAGCCGGGCAAAGCTGAAAAGCGACAGTACTAAGGGATGAAAATTTTTAGATATGCCGGACAGCAAAATGCCTCTAACCTAGTGTGATATTTACGAGCGACTCTAACTTAATGCAGCAAAATGCCTCTAATTTAGTGCAAAGTAGAATGAAAGAATGTCATCAAACAAGAATTCGAAAAATACGAGAAAATATCACAAGCTAAAGAGATTTCACCAATATCAATATGCCGATTTTGACAGAAACTTTGGAGAGGAGAGACATTTGTGTTCTGTGATCCCTCATTGCTTGATGCAAAATTATTGATATGAAGATTTGATGATTAAGTTGAAAAACCTCTGTCTGGAATAACAATATTTGATAAAATAGGAATTAAAAATTTTGACTAAAATTTCAGTCGCTGTCGATTCTTCCCACGATTCCAAATATTTCAGCATGCACAACCATTGGTGAAATAAATTATGATCTCTGCCCAGGATCACCAAGGAATTATTACGAAAAATAGAGTTCCATGTGGGAAAAGTGTTCATTAAGCATATTATCGTAAATGGTTGCCAAATCTGTAAAGCAATTGCATAAAAATGCCTAACTTGCTTAGGAAATTAATTTTGAAAGAGTTTCGCAGAAAATGGAGACAAGTATCCTAACCAGGTAAGAGGCTGAAGGTTCACTCCACCAAAAACAAAATCTTCGTAAAATTCTCCCAGAGATTAAAAGAGCTCTATATTGATTGCAAGGCGAAACAGGTTTCTTCAGCAGTTACTCACGCCATTCAAGTACTGAATAAAAGTAGTACTTTACAATGAACAGCAAATCTTCCAGGTTGATCACAACTGTTTTGAATACTGAGATCGCACAGGAATGTAAGTAGATACCGTCTGAAGTAAAATTACCTTCAGAGAAAAAATATTAGGGAGAATAATTAAATAAAAATATTAGCATTACGTTTTAGATTAACTTCGTATTAATGTGTTCCGATGATCATTACCTGTTCAAAAAGTAACATAACCGGAATAGTAATTACAGAAATGGAATTATTTGTAATTTTACAAATTTATTTCTCTAACAATAAGCCAGCAATGGGCTGTTTAAAATCTATCAAAGTTTTACATACATAATATCAGAAATTAAATTAGCGGTTATTAAAGAAACGTGGCAATACATGATTTCTATTTCAAATTTCATTTGTGTTAAAAATTTAACTCTATTTATTCAAAAAAGTAGTTTTATTAACTGTTATAAGTAGAATTCATTTTTGCTTATTTGCAGTTTTTTAATGTTTAATTTTCCTTCTTACTTTTCCAGTAAAAATGTATTAGTCAATGCAAAAAATATCAAATATAGAGGGAACAATATTACTAACTTTATCTTGCGCTCACAAATCATTACGTGAAAATTCGCTTAATTTTTTTTTCAATCGGAAACGTGACATCTTTGATGTTACCGTCATCCAATGATTTATAAATGCTTTATTTTTTGCCACAATATTTTGTATGCCGAAGTTTCAAAAGTGTGCAGTTTTTGCCGCTCTATATTTTCTACCATCATGTTTTCTCCTCGCTTTCTTTTGTCCTACGATGTTTTGTATGAGGAAGTTCATTTGCGATGTTTTCATCCGCAATGTTTCTGCAGTGGCGTTTTCGACATACGCCGTTTTAATGAGTGTAGAAGATGAGAACAATCGATATTTTTCAAACAAATAACACGTTTAAATTTTGACCCTTAAATGCATTAAGAAGGAAATATTTAATAAAATTAAAGAATGAAAGATCCCTATAAAAAAGCTTAAGTGTTACGGAGGTCAAAGAATGTACACCCGTTGCTGCAAGTACAATCAAAAAACCAGTTGCTCCCGTACGATCAAGAAGATGATGCAATATGGAAGATGTTTGAATTATGTATTTTTTCATAATGCTCAATATGAGAATATTTAACACACTCTTACATATTTTTAAGATACAATAAGAACACTTACCTTTATGATCTCCTTTGTAAGTAGAATATTTAATGTGGAACCAGGCATCTAAAGCTGTTCCAGACAGTACGAGCACTGCAAATAACGCTATGACGACACTGGGAAAAAAAAAAAAAAAAAACCACCTTATTTTGTATAGAATTAAGAGTTTAAGAGTTCGGTGAGTCCCACGGGAGCGTAGATTTATAAAGTTTCTCAGGTATACATACGCAGACTTTTGAGAACACATTAAAAGGAGTTTAAGCGATTTTGAAAAAATGTAAAGAGAGATCCTAAAATCTCAGTACTAGTTAAGTGCTTGAAACTGTGTAATAGCACTTAGAATTAGTAATTATAAGTTAACTATTTCCGGCAAGTAATTTATTACAGACCGAATGAATATCAATTTAGAAACAGAGTAGACATAAACAAATAATGCCATGCTATATATTTAACATCATTAATTCTAATTAAAATTGCACTGAAAGTATGACTATACAATACTTATGAGTATATTATTCTTGGTAGAAAGTTTAGATATAAAAGTTATAGAAGAAGTTATTAGATATTTCACAAATATTTAAAATTATGTTAATATCTCAAAATATAAAAGAAAAAATTGTTAAAATCATTGTTCTCAAACATCTTATAAGGGAAATGTAATTTTCTATTATTTTTATATTTGTAGTTTATTTTCTTCAACATGTTTGCACCACAGTTAAGAAGATTCTTTCTTTAATCAGAGAAACTTGGAGTATTATAATCATTATATGTCTTTAATTAAATAACAAAGAATATTTAAACACGAAATATTTTTCTGATATATTGCACATTATTTTAGTATGCTTTATCTAATAAGAAATGCTGCTAGCAGTTACAGAAAAGAAATGCTGCCAGCAGCAAGTTTCTTTAAATAAAGATGTTTGCACCACAGTTAAGAAGATTCTTTCTTTAATCAGAGCAACTTGGAATATTATAATCATTATATGTCTTTAATTTAATAACAAAAAAATATTTAAACACGAAATATTTTTCTGATATATAGCACATTATTTTAGTATGCTTTATCTAATAAGAAATGCTGCTAGCAGTTAGAGAAAAGAAATAAGAAATGCTGCCAGCAGCAAATTTCCTTAAATAAAAAAAAAAATTTGGAGAAAAAATTTTGAAATTTGCAACTAATTCTCTTCATATGATAAATATATAGACACGTTTATTGCCATTTAAAAAGTGACAAAATATTCATTTTGTTTCTACCAAAACTGTTTCCAAAATTGTTATACTTAATAAATTTTAAAGAATATTATTAAATCATTTCATTTAAAAGAAAGAAAATAGCATTTAATTTACACTTTGTAGATTAAGAATTTTGTTTCTTTTTGCTTTTATGTTAAAAAAAGGAATTCTAATTACATTTTAATTGTTTTCTAATGGTTTCATTTCTATTGATTACGATTCTAAGTAGTTGCTCATTGAAATGTACAATCTGAAAAGAATATTTCAAAGCCATCGTGATAACGGTAAAAGTTAAACTGAATACAAAACGTAAAATTTGCTTGAAAATGTAATACGCATACGTTTTCGAATAGTCTTTGCCAGAACTTCCGAAAGTTCTTCGGATTTACATATCACGTATTGTTATGTTATCCAGAATAATATTATAATAAAAAATCTAAAGCATTAATTTGAAAGTTCTGTCCATTTGGGCAGTAATTAATAGCAATTCTAGTGAGACGTATTTGTCGCATCAATTTAGCTAAGGTAGGAAATCCCTAATTTTCTGTCTCGACACACCCTCAGAGAATATTGAATGAGATTACCTCAATGCTTTTAAAAAGAAAACAAAATATAGCATGAAACACTTACAAAAATACCATCTGATCTGTGTTCAGCGGCTTCTTCTGGCCATCTTCACAACGGCTCACGCTCACTGGGATGAAAGACAGTGGATCTGGTAAAACAAGATCAGAATTAAATTAATGATGTTAGATAATTAGATGTTATTTTATAGGTACGAACAAAGTCACTACAAATTTCAAAGCCAGTTTGCATCAAACTGCATTTATATGTTCCATAGTAACATCACTTATTTTTTCTCAATATATAAAAATATACTGAAAGAATCCTGACATGAAATTAGCGTAATTTGAACATAAATTGGTAGAGCAGTGAGGTTATCTGCGAAGGTATGTAAGGAAAGCTAGATTAATTACGCCTGAGCGTTCGAGAGTAGAGACAATTTGGTGGAGGAAGTCTTAGAACAAATGTTTTCGTATTTCTATTTCGCACTCGGCAAATCAATAAAGCCGAGAAGAAACATTTAAAGTTCAAGGTTATAACCACTTGACAAATGCAGGCACATATGGTATAAAGTTTTTAGGCATGCATCATCGTATATGATTTTTAGGAGTGCATCAACATATTTTTTATTCCATATCCATTTACGTCAGCTTCTCATCCTGAGGTGCAACGAAATTTCAAGGCAAGGAGCAGCAACATATAGTTCAATCGTCTAAAATACTTTTCAGAAGTGAATATACTTCGAAAGAGTGGCATATTATGCAGGTAGTAGGAATCTAGTCAAGTAATGAAGCGTTTCTTAGCAATGTAAGATATAGGAAAGGCTGTGTAAACTATTTCGCATCTTACTTTTGGCTTATATTATAATATTGTTATGGAATGTCCAGGTAGACAGCTAAAGATAGCTTCCCCGCAAGGCAGGTTTAGGAATGCCATAAATTGGCAAGCGTAGACATGGTTGCCAAAATTGGCGAGAAATAGCCAATTTGGCGATATTTGACGACAAAATTAGCGATATGCCATACACGGATGGAGAACCTTTTGGAACGAATTCTTACTGGTTTAGCTCAGAATGTTCTCGAACACAAGCCAAAAGCTCTATAAACCCTGCTGGTATGCGGAGAGTTAGTCAGTTTGTTTGGAGTCCATCTAGTTGATAGTCAGTCAGTGAGTGCCGAGTTGGTCGTCGCGTACACCGAAAGAGTCTCTTAGTGTATCGCGGTTAGTGCATCGTCGAGAGCGTGCGTTTAGCTCCTAGAACGGCGGAACGGAGCAGTTGGGAGCTGTACTCTAGTATATCGACGAATGCATAGCGAGTTGTAGTGGAGAGTCTCAAGAGTACGTGGAGTTCCGAGAACGAGCGAGCAGACTCGGGAGCTGTACTCTGGTGTTTTCCAGTGAAGCTATCTCCACCGCTATAGCCTGATTGCCTGAAGACTGTGCTGCTGATTGTTTCAGCGAGTTTATAGTAGTTCTTCGACGACTGTAAAAATGTGATTTTGGAGCTGTTCTGAAAATAATATTGGCCAATAAAGTGTGTTTCCATTCTTCATCAAGTGCAGTTGTCATTATTCGCTCAAAATCTACACGAATCCGTACCGTACGACGAAAGAAGGAAGAAAAAATATACAATATAAATATAGATTGATTAATAAATTTGTTTATCGATAGCGCTGTGTTTTCAAAAATTATATGTACCGTATTCAGAATGAGCCGGTAGATATCAGCAAGCTTCTGAACAAACTTGCACTATTAATAAGTTATTTATTGCAGTCATAATAATATGCTGAATAGATGAAGCAGGTATTCATGTCTGTTTTGCTGCCGGCAACATCCAAAACAGGTCAAGGGGGACCTATTCTTTCATTTTTCTATATGAAAAGCGGTAAACTGGTGTATTCTCTGGTTTACGACGTCACATTAGTTTAATGCACTTGTGTGGTTGTAAGGTGTCGTTAAAGAGAAATATTCTACCGCAATCAGCATAATAAATATAAACAGTGCCCTTCCTCACATAGTTCAAGTCACGAAACAGAGATCCAACATATTTAAATGAAAGAATTTTCACCTACATCTCAGATCTGTCACCATGGGATGTTTTTATTATCAGACCCCTGGATATGGCCTTGGAAGAACAACAGTTTCGATCGGATGATGAATTAAATATGGCTATACCGGATTTTGTTTTCCTACAACAAATCTGTTGTAGACATTTTTTTTTTCCCAGAAAAGCGCCTTTGACCTGTTAGGCAAGTACCTTGCGTCAGCTGAAAATTCTTCAGAGCAAAATAAACATATCGGGTCTCATGCCTCTCGAATGGAAAATTTTTAATCACCCTTTATATTATAGTAGAATATGAGAACACAAATATTTTATTAAAGCACCATACAATTAAATACATTATTTAAATTTTAAATATTTTATTAAATCAACTGCACTTAAAAGTGAAATGATATGCATTATAGATTTAAAATGAGATCTTACCAATATTCGGTCTCAAAAATTTTTCAAAAAATTGAAGTAGAGCTCTCAAGTAATTGAGGTTAGTTTACTATTAAACCACTTTTAAATACTAATTCTAAAATGAATAAACATGTTACGCTTTACGGATATTACTTACAATTTTCTATGAAGAACTATATACGACAAAACGGAAGACTGGACTTACTTAGTCCCAATATTTCCGTCAAATCTTCTTCAGTACATGTAGAGGGAAGACAGACCCCAATACGAAATTTGACCAAATTTCTGAAATTGACTGGAAATTCTTTAACAAACTGGAAGAAAAAAATATTTCAGTGTATTTATTCAATACTAAATTAATTGCATATGTGAAAGAAATTTTTTCACTACAAAAAAAATAATATAAATTTTAATTAGCTATTTCTCGTATTCTTGTGTATAGGCCGTACGCCTTAACTTACTTAAAGTTTTAGAGAGCATGTTCTCCTATATATGCATCATAATTTTGATATTTTCCTTTTGCAATAGCCTAATGATTAATTATATCCAAATCTTACTTGCATAAATGCAGCAAACAGTAACAAAAATAGAAGTTTACATGCGTAACAATACTCCTGTACTCTCTCAAACTCTGTGGATCCCTTACCCATAGTAACAAATCTTCGTGCATCTGTTGTTTTCTTTGAGTCTGACGAAGCGACACCTGAACGTAATGGCCGTTTGGCACTTTCCTATATATATTATGCATATATCGGAATTTTGTTACATTAATAGCCATACATGTATTTTTTATTTTCATGTGAAAGCTGCAGTACTAATTTTTCCACATGTTTTTTGGGGGACATGCCCGATTTGAATTCGCAAGAATGCCGTATAAGCTAAATAATTCCGGCAATAAGAAATAATGATATTAATAGATGGTACCTAAAATTAATTTTTCGTTAACATAGTTTAGAGGATAAGATAATTTCTTGAAATTCAAGCATAGTTTCCGCCATTTACTAGATTTGGGCTTATAACATATTAATGACAGTAAATAATAAAAATATAATTGTGTTGTTGTTGCTGTTGCTAATCCCAGATTGTCCATCAAAGCTAGATAATCTCCATAAATCCAAAAATATCTAATAAGTCTAAAAACAATAGAGGATCCTGAAGGACCTCGTTTTCGTTAAAATCCAAGCAAGCTAAAATATGGGCCAGGGTGACCAGACTTACACCAGTGGTACTCAGGCACTTTTCTTTAAATATAATTGCCTTTAATTTTAAATATAATTTTTAAATTTATAGTATTATTTGAAGAAATATTTCTAACATTATCATTTCGAAAGAATGCGGTGAATTGATATTATAAAAAGTATAATTAGTGGATAATTTCGTTCATTAAGGGGGAATAAATGAAGTATTGAGAATGTTACAAACACATTTCCTTTCGGGATAACAGATTAACAAGTACTAGCGGCGGACAAAACAAAGATGAGAAAATCGTGTGTGCGGTCACCCAAAAGTGGCTGTTTTCAAGCTGTTACGATGTGTGAGACGACATGTCTGATATCGCAGACGCAGTAATTTGTTTCGGTTGACAGTATCGGTTGACAGGGTCTAGGTGGCTGTACAATGGTTACAGATTTGGGAACAGAGGATGCAAGAAACATATTGCAATGCATGTAAATATAACAGAGAACATAAGGCATAAAGTGCAAGAACTGACAACTGGATTAATGAACTAAACTATTGTCAGCTCTTCCGACAGCTAGTCGGTTACTAAGCCTAACATGGAGTCATAAGGGGAACCTGTCCCCGGTTACCATATACGTAAACAATGATTTATAATATACTTTCAATATTTGTTTAAAAGAATAATTTCACTGTTACCCACTCTGAGCGCCTAACTAATATTACATAAAGAAAGGAAGTTTACATATACACTCTTTTAAATTACAATCTTTATTTCTGTGCATAGCAACGAAACGAATGCAGTATCTTTTTCCCCTGTCAGTGGTCACAGAATGAATGCATAGTTTACTTTCATATCGGCGACAGAGCAATGAATACCATATCGATTTTTCCTAATTTATGAGAAAGAATATATTTTAAAATTACAAATGTATCTTTATTTATTTTAAAATTGCAATCTTATGCAAACGTAAAGCTCTTAAAGGCATGGACGTACTTCAGTAGAATTTGGCTCATTAAGCTGAGATGATTAACTGCTCTGAAGTCGAGATTTTGCCTAGTAACGCGATTTGCAAAGACACATTTAAATTATATTTAATGTCATATTTCTCTGCATATATCTTCCGTTATGCACATATGTACGTGCGAAAGTTATAAACAATGCTAGTAATAAAATTAAATTTTGTAAAAAGCCTTATCCTTTTAGAACTATACAGAAGATAATTATTTAAGTCTTGGTTCTGGAACATTAAAGGGAAACAGAATCATTTTAATTATTTCTTTTGATAAGAATATAAAGTTTTACTTTAAATGTAATTTTCATTATTTGAAATAAAAGTAAATTTCATTGTTAAATATTTCATCGAATGAGAGAGTAAAACAAAACTTTTGCATATATATTTTAGAGTTTAAGCTTCAAATAAATGAAATCAACATTTTGGAGAAAGTCTAAAGAACCCTGTCTAAACGATTCCATAGAGAATTTTAGTCTTCTGTGGAGGCAATCGTCTTAGAGAGATGACATTCTTAATCAATTTTTATATAGGTTCGCAGAAATATCAATCATATCCAGTTGTCGTAGCTTAGAGAGCTGACCCTTATGTAAATCACTTATTGTACTTAAAATTTGGTTAAAGAAAGATACTAAATTTAGAAGCAAAACATTTTAAACTAGTTATAATTATTGTTTAAAATTAAAATCTTGAGAGAAAAAATGTATATATTAAATTTTTAAATATCTAATCATGGAGTGTAGCTTATAAATGTATAGTATAATATTAAGCAAAAGGTATGACGATAGGCCGTACATTATTTTGGACATTAATCCAAACTGCAATGAGAGGAATTTTTTAGGACTTAAAAAATCAATCCATATGTAAAATTTTGTGGCAAGAGTATCTTTATTTTAACAAAACATTTATTGCAGATATACATGATGTAAGATATGATAGGAAAAGTACATTTTTAAAAGTACACTAATATTAAAATTTAGGGGATACACATATAATAAGAATTAAGAGAATATAGGGCTGCATGACTATTCTTTAAATTACAAGACAAGAGAAAAAGAATTTTTTTTTTTTTTGAAATTTATCAGAAACTTAAAAAATTCTCAAACATTTTTTCGTTAGGATGTGTTAATAATTTTGGGTATTAATGATTACGGGACGAGTGTTTTGAAACTTTTTAGAGCTATCATGAGGTCATACTACTCATTGAAAGGCGAAATATTTATGTTTCGTTTGAATTAGCTTTCAAAGCCATTATTGAAAGATTACTAAAATTTTGCAGAAGCTGTATAAGATTTTTACGTCAAAATTTACTACATATTTCTCATTACTAGCTGTAATTAAGTAAAGAATTTATTGTTTATTCAGCAAAGCAAGTAAGAAATACCTGTGTGAAGGATTTTCAAAGAGAAAGTGGTTTATACTGACATCTACATAGACATGAAAAGCCCATGTACCCAGCAGAACAGAGACAAGGCATCTGTACTTCATAAGTTTTCTCTCGGGGCAAGAATGAAAGAACCTTATAATTAATGGGGATTAAAGGATTTCGAGAATCAGGAGTAAAACTTTATATTGTTAATAAATATCAATCATAGTTACTATGATTACACTCTATAAAAGCAAGCAGACTAAACTGTGAAATTCATACTCCCATTAAGGCATACTAAGAACAGTTCAACAATAATTATAATAATAGATACTTAAAAAAGTTTACCGGTGCTAGTTTTCCAAAGAATGAAAGATTGAGTTTTCCTCTGCCATAATCCAGCACCGCTTCGTCCAGTTTTGGTGGTAAACTGGCTTCAATAGTACAGTACTGTCCGTGGTAGTACTCCTCTTCCTTAGTCATTGGGACATCTCCTTTCTTAGATGAACTGACCTCTAAACATTCATCGTAATCCCCCATCACAATAAAAGTACCTTCCATTATACCGAACGGAGGTTTGGCCATGGCATCCAGTACTACAAAATAAACAAATTTTAATAAAATGTATTGTACTCTTTCAATGTTAATGCATATATTAGATTGTACAGCATTTGAGTACTCAGTGTAGCCACTGTATGAACTCATGAACTCGAAGAGTGCATTTTGATGTACAAAATTATAAAAAATGTCACCTCTTATAGCATGCCAAATTGCTCAATATTTTGTATTATATTTGTGCTATGCACCTGCCACGCATTTGTGTGAGTATGTGTGAATCGACAAATTGTTTGGAGTCCATGTGGTGCTATCGTTGGGTCTTGGCGTATATATGGCTTTTCTTTCATAGGCGCCAAAGATTGGCAGTGCATAACGGAAAAGTATCTATTTAGCTTCGTGATTGCAGTGTACTTTATTGAAAAAAAGTGAATATGTTAATAATGTTTTTATCTATAAAATTACTAAAATTGTTTATTTGTTAAAATTATTTGTTTAAGTCTGTATTTGCTTAAGACTATAATAGACGGTAAAGCTTTACTTTTCTACTAACCAAGTAATCTTTTATATTTGTTTATTACATGACTTTTTCTTCGTTCAGTCATTCTAGAGCTAGGAAAATGAAGGATGAAATAAGAATGATTAAGATTTGGCACGATTTATTGCTGCTGAAAATTTTTCATGTTAATGATTTGGCATGTTTTTTTTATTGATGACTCAATTGTAATTTTTAGAAGCTATTTCTTGATGATTCCATTTTTTTCCATCCTAACTATAAGGAATGTGTGCCTACTATATATCACCCACAGGTCTTGAATAGATGAGCATAAATTTGATTTGATATCAGATCATGTAATCAGATTCTAACTGCAGTAATTACCTTTTTTAATATCAAATGCCAAGATGTTTATAATTAGGAGATTTATTAGTGCTCTCAGAAATGTTTATTTTAAATAATTAATAAAGGTGAGAAATACAAGCTAAAAAAAGGTTTAGATCAAAAATATTTAACTTAACTAGAAAAGATTAAGTTGTTAACGTGTATCAAATACGCCATTTTAACTTCCAAACATAATTAGTATGTTCCTAATCTACTGTGAATTTAATATGTAGATCGTTTTTCTACTAGCTGCTTCCTCATTGTATGTAGGTATTACGATTTATTAATCTTGACAGCTGTTAGCATTCCCAATTTATTCCCAGTTACCTGCATTTATGATGTTAACGAGCAGCCGCTTCTGTCTAGAGTTTTGATATCTCTTGCTGACATCTGAAATTGCCATCTATAAATATCCAAAAAATTTGGCTGCTTTAAAATCCATACTTGCTCAGCAACGACTGACAGCGCAAAACCTATTGTTGTATTCCCCATGGCTCAAACATGTGGCTCAACTCAAGTTGTGTACGTTCCTGTAAAGGAGGCAAGGGATGTACATTTACCTGTTGTTTAGTGTCTTTTGAGCTCGGGGTTAAAAAAAAAAAAAAAAAAAAAAAAAAAAAAAAAACACTTTAAATGATAGGTTTTAAAATATCGTTCTAATTTAAATGAAAATCCTTGCATCTTGAATTTCTGCAGCTCTGATACCTTTACTTATTACTCTTCGTTCACCTTGAAATAGAGGATACAAAAATAAGCATGGTTCAGAAACACACGTTATTTGCGCTTTTCATTCCACGTATGTATCTCTACAATCAGTTTAACAAGAAATGTGTATGAGAATATAAATTAAATTAAGTACCTTATACATTTAGGTGACTATAAATCAGTAAGCAAAGTGTATCTCTTATCGAAAACACAGTAAAAATAACCAAAAATAGCAAAAATATCAACTTGACTGATAAATAAAAAAAAAAAATAAATCAAAAATAAAAAAGTATCAGAAATTAAAAGGCTGTATCACTTTTCAAGATTAAAACATTTAGAAATTTTAAATAGCTACACTCCTTTTTTTACTACGCAAATTGACCAGCCAATTGAAAAACCATAAATGGCGTTAGAACGATACATGCATTATGAAAATGACAGATCGCTAGGGATTCATATATTGGGAAAGTTTTCTTATGTGTACATATGCAAAATAAAAAATATGCAAAGAAATTGTCTAATTTTAATTTTCCAATAATCCCTTAAAATTCTAATATAAATTGGATATTTCTCCTCTCCATATTTTTCATCACGCTAGATGACTCAGGTTATTCGGAAAGAACTGAAAGTCGAAATTTGCGAGATTCAGAAAAACTGTAACTTCAGAAGCAGCAAGAAAAGACGATAGGTAATGTCTTTAGAGAAAAAAGAAGGAATAAAAGATGATCCCATGCCCAACTGGAAGAAAAACACGCCAATGTTAAATTTAACATAAGGTTGCCATTTTAAGCTTTCGTCTCTTTTATATGCTTAATAAAGTGTTTATATTTTTCGACTTAGATGTAATAACTTCCATTGGTTGTGTGATACGAACTTATGCAGAAGGTGCTGTCGGAAAATTTAAACAAACAGTCGCCTGTGATCCAGGAACTGACATTAATTCTTATGGGGAAGTAGTTTCTGTTCACAAACATTTCGAATGATGAATAAACTTCATGGCTGAATTACATTCATGAACTTAGGTTCCATTGAGTTTTTTTCCACAAAACTATAACTTGAATAATAGATTCAAGAACATAAAGAATTACCAACTTAATGATGGAATATTTTATTTAATAGAATATTAATAACAAATTTTTAACAATCATCTCTCAATGATGCACTTCTAAGAGCAAGAAAAAGAAAAAAGAGGAATAACGAATTTTTAATGTAGCTTCAACAAATGTTTATTTTAATAATAGACATCTGTTTAAATTTCAAGTTTAGTTTTATTTTTTTCAAATTTCTATGAATCCTTTATTTATCATGAATATATAAAAGAATAAAATTTAAGTTAATGATACTTAGAATTTTAAAATGCGGTTATTCTCTGTAGAATACTGCCGCCGATATTTGCTCGAGATAATGAAGTGGTTGAACTTGTAATGCAAGTTGTCTGCAAACCATGTCTCGGTCAGTTAATTAAATATAAGCAGTCTGTCTGCCATTATTTATTTCTACATTACTGATAATTGCTAAGTTTTTCTTTTTTCTCCGATTATTTTATCAGAGTTCTGTTGCATAATGCTTAATTACAAGTAAATTTCAAATATTATGACTTGAAATTTCTAATTTTTATTTTCAAAAAACGTCAATTATTTTATTAATCAAAATTGTCAGTGTTTATTTGTTTTATTGAAAGAAACAATATTCTAGTGGAAACTGGTTTGTATTCATGTTGGACAAGAGAAAACTTTCGTGCGACCAACCCGTTCCCTGGATTCAAATCTGAATCGAACTAGTGTCCAACAGTCTTATCCACTCGGCACTGGTGAACTAAAAATTCCTTCGACGGCGTCTGGCATGAGGGGCTCATTTTTAAGCTCATATCTACTGATTTGGATAGAGACCTCATACTTTTAATCTATTCCTTTATTAAGGACAGAAAATTCTATGTCAGTATTGGTAGTGACAAATCTGAATGTCAACGTTTAAATGCCGGCGTGGCTCAGGGGTCAATTTTGGGACCTATCCTTTATTTGTTTTACGTCGCAGATTTCCCAAAGTATAACATGGACAACAACACTTTCCGAGGATGCTACGCGGACGATACTGCGTTAGCTACGACTTCCCTCGGAGCTGAAATAGCGGTTTCTAAATTACAGAGCATCATCCCCGCAGTGGAACATTGGTGCACATTCATGCGCAGAAATCGCAGTTGCTCATTATACGTAAGAAGACTCCTAGAACCCCTTTAAATGTGACTTGAAAACTTTTTGACATCGATGTGCCTATTGTAAATAAGGCTGTTTATCTTGGTGTCGTCATGAATAATAAACTCAGTTGGAAAGACCATGTGACTAAAGCCAGAAGTAAGGCCATGGCTGCACTTACTAGTATTTCTTCCATTATGGGGAAAAACTCAAAGTTAAACCTCTCTAAAAAGAGACATTTATATACGGCGGTTATCCGTCCCATTTTCTCGTACGCGTCCCCGGCGTGGGCAGCGGCCACACATAGAGATATAAATAAATTGCAAATTCTCCAAAACAAAGCCCTGCGTTTAATGACAAACGCACACTACTTTGTCTCTAATGACACGCTTCACAGAGACCTAAAAATTGAGCCTGTTGACAAATTTCTTCACCCAGAGTCGTAGCTAGGGTTTTCAGCGCCCAGGGACAACTGAAGATTTCGCGCCCCCTACTGCTTGCCAAGGATGGAAAACATTTAATTCTAAAATGTCGTAACATCAGTTTGGCACCCCTTGGTTTCTGCGCCCGGGGACAGATGCCCCCCTTGCCTCCCTCTAGCTACGCCCCTGTCTTCACCGCATCAACAGCACTTTCTTCGATAGAGCTGTCAATTGCCCGTACCTTGCTCAATTTAACACGTTTGATTATGTACCTCTGCAAGAGGACTACAAAATAAGACCGTATGCTGCACATATCACGAGGAATGCAAATTTCCCTACTTAATTATGATAGCGCACGAACACTTTGTACATATGTAAATATTTATTTTAATTGGATTTTGTATTTTATTTTGTACCTTATTTGTGTATTTATGTACCCTGTAAATAATTTTATTTTATTTTTACTTTCTGTGTATTGTTTTATACATGTATATGTCACGAACAGACACTTGTCAGATTGCGCGACACCAGCCTCTCCTTGGTATTGCTCCCCTTGTGACGCATGGTCACCTCCTCTCACCTACTTCCGATGCCTCCTTGGCCCGTCCTGTTTTTACCGTCATGTGCCCATACGGCTAATTCTACCATTGAGCAGGACACGTCGTGCTCCGCGCGATATCTCTGCGATACTGGTATGATGACTGACTGAACTAAAATTATCAATACTACCTTATAAATTTTTAAGTATAAATGTTTCGCCTTCATGTTAAGTCATCAGCCTTACCTATTATTTTGGCTGATGTTCTTATAGTATAGAACAATGGTTCTCAACCGATGGTACG